GCACACCCGAGATCACTGACGCTCTCTTCGGATCGTAACCCGGATCACAATTATCGCCGAGGGTCGGTGGTGTGAGGCCGGCGGCATCACAGAGCTTCTGCTGGCTGGAACGGTGCAGCTGCTGAATGCGAGACCTTGCAAATGAGTCATCCATGCTTTCGTCTCTGGACTAAAGGCAAACCTCGACTTGTGATAGGAAGGCCCTCAAGCTGGAAAGATGCTTTGCAGACAACTGAATACCACCAGCATCGCGTCAACACAGCATGAGAGGGTCGTGCTCGAAACTGCTCATACACTGTAGCAACGATGCTTGTTGGACTGCACCAGGATGCCAAGTCAATGCAGCTTCTAACTCAAAAGCATTGCACAACTCAAGAGACACTTTGACTTTGAGCAGTTTCATTGCCTCGGCCTCGTGCGACAATGTCTGCAATTCGTCCCCTGTAAGGCTCCAGCTGCAGTCGCGAAACGCACTCTCGATCCTGTCTCAGGTTTCGCTCGGCCTGTCGGGAGAAGTCTGATTGCAAGTAGTGCCCATAGACTGAAGCCGAACAGACTCACTAGCTGTCGTGCTGTAACAGAATGTCACTCCGTACCACTACCTGCAAACCGGTGGGATCCAGCAGGTTCTCTTCGCGGTGTACACTACAGAACATAGCACAAACATGCACTGGTCCTGAACGTCGAAGCCACTCGTTCAACCCTCCTTGACAGCTAATCTCCCGTGCTCTAACCACGTTGGCCGTCCCCCCGATGCTTGCTTCCCGAGAAGTCCGCCTCTGCGACTTTTCGGCGCAGATCTTCTGTCTTGGCCTTGGATTGGCTTCTCTTCTAGCGGCCATGGCGGCCCTTCCGGGGCTGGGAATCATCCGCCCTCAGGTTGGGGTTCTCCTTGATGTATCCTGCCAGTTGTGCATCTGTCGCAATCCTGAGCAACAGGCCAGCTGGGATTTCACCGCAGACTCCGCCTGACAGCTGAAGAACAACAGCGAAAGCTACTGTGTGCGCCACTGGGCAATCCAGCGTCCATTCAAGAAGCACACGCCTCTGTCAAGCGCCTACGAACAGTGCGGTTCAGCTGGTTCACATGCGTCATCAGCTCCTTCGTCGGCAACATTGGTTTCAGCCCGTGCGATGCGCGAAGCTTGCCGATAATCACTCGGTCCAGAAAAACAGGTGCACAAAGCGAGTTGCTTCATCCCGCTCCTGTTCCCTCGCCACCTCCCGTCCGAATTCCTGCACAGTGCCGTGCGACTTGACACCACCAAAGCTGTTGCAACTTGAAGGGACTCGAGCCTCTGCCTTTTGGCCTTCCCAGAGCTCCAATGCAACGGCGGCCGCCTCCTCGCAACTTCGCTTAGAAAGGGCATGGCCCCCCTGGTCCTAGGCCCTAGCAGCAGTCAGGCGGCCTGGACTTCGAGCGGCGAGGATGTGACAAGAAGCTCCTGGAGCAGCTTCAGCCGCTCCCTCGCGAGAGAAATGGCCAAAGGCCCGGGGAGGGCCCTGCTCCCCTCAGCTTCTTCAGCTTCGCGCTTCCCGACGCTCTCTTCTCTCTTCTCTCTTCTCTCTTGCCTGTCATCAGCTCGGCCAACATGGCGCCGCTTTGCCTCAGCGTGTCATGCTGAGATCGGAGGGAACGGCAGCGACGTGGCACATGGGCGCAGAGCACAAATCCCATCGCGGCACACGGGACACTCGTCCGAAGCCAGGAACCTGGCACCATCAAAAGGGGAGCAGCTTCGGGAAAGAGGGCCGGGCAGTTTCGGGAAAGAGTTGAGCACGCAGCACGCAGCAACTCCAGAGCTGCCCGTGGCACACACTACTCGTACGGGACATGTCTTATATATATATATATATATATATATTACACATACATACATACATACATACATACATACATACACATATACATATATACGTACATATATATATATATATATATATATATATATATATATATATTTATATTTATACATATATACATATATAAGTACACATGTATGTATTGATGTATTGCATGTGTTATATGTGTGGAGCATGCTCTAAGCGATGCTATGCGCAGCTGCGCAAGTGGCAAGTCGGCACGAAAGAGATGGAGCAACACCTCAGTTCTATCGTTACACAACATCAGAGTGTTGGATTGACAACATTGACTGGGTAATGAGAGACCCAACAAGCAAGCAAGCTGGACCACTCTTGCGCGTGCTCCTTACACAGGAGGTGCCGGCAGCGGAGGAAGACGCCCTAAGTCGTGCAAAGCAGCACCCAACGCACAACCACGAAGGCATCCTTCGACGACGCATTGCCCGAACTGCTGGAGCAGCCAGCAGCCATCACGGCATCCACAAGCTCCGGCCTCCTTTATGATTGCACCGCAGGTCTGCTGCTTGTTCACTGGAAAGTTGCATCGCAGCGTCGCGAACTCTTCCACCTTCCCCACCAGGCTTTGCAAGACTCACTCGATGCTAGCTACAACGCACTTCCAGAAGCATGTCGCTCTTCTTGCCTGGTCGTCACTGACGCTTGGCTGAGCCATGGCAAAGCTTCGAGCACTTTCAGTCACCGAATCAAACAATCAAACCATCTCAAGGAAATCACCGCCATTTTCGCTTTCACAGCTCATGCATGCCAGTGCTGCTTCACGTCTCGAAAGCCTACCGTGCTCTAAGTTGCTCACGGCTGTCACGTACGAGGCTCGGGCTCGCTCTCTTCAGGCATGCAGCACATGGCAGCCCTGCGTAGCTGCCCAGCGATCTTTCTCCGCGCTCATGATGGGTTCCTCCTCGCCGGTGCCTCATTGTGCTCCGACCACTGTCAGGTGTTGAAGCTTTCCACGCTTGCAACGCTTCTGCCTTCAAATGCTAAGGTACGCATCACTTGCCTTCTTCCCATGACGCTGTCTCAATTTGTCTGCAACCAAAGACTGCATGAAAATGTTGACACATTGTGCCTCATCCTGCAAGATGAAAGAGGGTTCGACGGAATGGGAAGAGTTTCAAGTGCAAGCATCCCGTTGTGTTTTTTATGCAGCTTCCTCCTGTACAAGCTTTGAGGTGCAAGAGGATAGCGCCTCAAATGCCTGATACTAATATGGTGTGGGCCATTTGGGTAAAGAGTTGTGTCGCACTGGAGTTCACTCTGCCTCTCGCTGGCACGAAGGAGCCGCAGATAATAGTGCGTATGCATTAACCTCATCTCGTTGAAACGTTCTTATCTCCCTCGAGATAATAGACAGCTCATGAATGTCGGTGCCAAGACATAGCCCAGGCCTACGGACATGCCTTGCCGCAATGCGGCCCAAAGGGAAATACCTATGTAGTTCTTTGGCTTGAAGTAGACCCTCAGAGGCTGCTTCTCGGAGTGATGCTGCAGGAGGAAACTGCGCCACTGGTTGAAGGGCGAAGATCCCAGGCAAGCCAGGAAGACAACCGCGAAGAGAACCGAAGGCCTCACGTCCACTGCTAGAGTTGGACTGAGATAACTTCGGAGGATGCCGTAGGTCATGTCACGAAGGAGCGTAGGGAGGTAGGCCTCGTACAGCTTGCTCCACTGGACCGGAAGCTTCATTGACCGCCGGTACAAGAAATTCGAGATGGGGAGGGTCACTGTGGCGAAGATTCCACCGGCAACCATGCCTCCAACAAAAGGCGATGCTTGAGTAGTGGCCGCGGCGAAGATGGCCTCGAAGAACGGAAACTTTAGTAAATTCGCTATAAGCGTCGCCCGAAAGGACAACAGCACCACTTTTAAAGTAATGTCGTGCGAGTTCTTGAAGAACACCTCCACTTCGGACAGCGTGGCCTGCCAGGGGAACTCTACAACCGTGCACCTTTGCTTTCACGTGCTCAATGAGAAGCGCGGTGCCTGGATGGTGGCGGCAACCATCCTGAGCACAGCCGATCAAGCTGGGGTTCCAAAGGTCCTACCCAAGCGTGACTTGCTCGCCGAGCGTCCCCGCGCCCACATAGGGCATCAGGCTTCGGAGGACATAACGCGGCAGTGCCGGCTCCTGACGAACCGAACAGGGAACTCTGACTAGACTGGTCCGTTATTGGGTTTCGGTTTTCACACGGTTGCTCGGAACGGTCTCGCGAAGCGCATCGAGCACTGACAGGGACACTCTGCGGACCGAACCCCCCTAGAGTGCACACGAAATCGGTCCTTATATGCATTGAAGGCTTCTCTGCTGCCAGCGAAAGACGGCGCTTGTGACCGCTCCGGGTTTAGTTGTGGACGAAAGGCCGTGGTAACCTGAAATGAGACAGCAAGACAAAGGAGGCAACAAGCACAAACATCTCACCAGACAATGTCTCGCAAGGCTTCTACTGTCACTGGAAGATCGCAGGAACCGTATGTAGAAGCCAAGGTGAAACAAAGGTCGGCAGGTATACTCCCAGCCGAATAGTTCATTCGGCCGGCATCTGCTGGCCGCATGCACTCTCGAGCGTAGCAAACCTGGAACCTGCTGTATCTACGAGTATCTTCGTCACTTGAAGGAGGCAAGGGGCTGTAAAGGTGCTCGAGCTACTGTCCACGTCCGAGAGCAAAGCAAGGACCCAAGCGGCACAACACAGTGTACGCAGTTGAATGTATGCCCTCCGACGACCTGCGACCATGGCTCCGTACTCAAGGCATTGCCTGCCACTCGGTCTACGTACTCTTCTTGGGCCTTGAGCCGGACTGGAAACCACAGATTCTGCTGCAATGCTGTCAAAAAAGCTAGGGTCAGAACTGCGCATGTCTCGGTGCAACACAACTGTGGCAAGTACAACTGTCCTGCCCAAGCGCAGGGTGTTGTATCATGCCAACACTGATCCATCCGCTGACTTGTTCTTTGAATTTGAGTGACTTGGAGTTTGATAGCCTTGCCCCACGTCCCAACAAGCTTCAACCTACGGATTTTCCGCACTGGGCCTGCAAACAAGTCCTATTCGCAAAGCTGCTCACCGTCTCCTACCTGACAGGTATCAGACTTTGAACAGCTGCCGAATTTCAACAAGACGATGAGTAGACTCCCTATCCCGTCTCTGCCTACTTCGCTGCATAAATCTCGAGAGAACCAAGCTCATGATGTCTTGGGCAAGTGCCTTTTGAGCTGCAAAAGCCAAATCTGTCGTGCTGGCACAACTTTTCTAGGGTAAGTCATGCCTCACGGACATTGCGGCTGCCCGAGCGTCGCTTGGCACTGCAGGCTGCTAATGCTCGCTCTGTCGCACATGAGGCAGCTCTCAGACTTGCGACAGCGTCCTGTCTCTTTTTGGAGACAGCAGGCTTTCGCCCTCCAGTTAACCTCTGTCGGGCCATCGCTTCGTGCAGTGCTTCGGTTGCACGTCGTCGCTTCTTGCAGACATACGCATTTAACTGCACCACTTGATCTTGAAAGGCATCTGTGGAGTGGCTGTGCCCAGAGCTTCCAGAGCCAGTGCGTCCCAGTCTCTGCAGCATGTTAAGCCAAGCATCACGAAAAGGCTCCAAGCCTTTGCTGCGGGCCAGAAGTAATTGCTGCCGGAGCGTGAGAACTTCCCCCAGGGGCAGAACTGGTGACGACACATGCGTTGATCCTAACCAGCGGGCCACGTGAATGCTGAGATAGCTTCGGATTCCATACTTCTGTAAGAAGCAGTTCAAGCCCTGCTCTCCGGATCGGAATCCAGAGTCACGAGGTCGCATGTTGACGACCGGCTCCCGCTCTAACTCTGCAAAAGCAGTGGCAAAGGCCTCGCAAAGCTCGGTGACTCCCTGTCCCTCGCGTCCCTCGGCTTGTCTTGTGTTCAGCAGCACTAGCTGCCGCAGCCTCACCAGCAGTATGTGGTATTCAACTGCTGCCCGCGGCAACGTATAAGAACTATACAGCCGGATATGCTCAAAGCTGATTTTGGCTCGGAAGAGCCCTTGCCGATTTTGCTGCAAGCCACAGGTCTTGGGCTCTGATGACTTGGTGCGCTTGGTCGGCTTCGGCCCAATATTCGGAGAAGCCGAAGTCGCCGAGGCCTCGTCAATGTCTGAAGCTTCGGGCACTGGTTGTGAGGCATTAGGGGATTCTTGCGCTTGCGCTGTTGAAGGGGCAATCCGTTGGCACTGGCTTTGGAAATGCACCAAATTTCAGATGCACTGCCCCTTATGCAACCTCCGACCCAGGAGCATGCTCACCGTCACCAAAACGTAGGGTTCCAATTCTTGGGATTCTCCTCGTGTTGGGTGCGCTTCAGCTCCGCCCATTGTGCATGACAGGCTTCAAGCCGAAGGACAGCTCGTCGTTGCTACTGAAACCAAGAAATCCAAAGAGCCCCAACCGTGGCACATGTTCCTGCGCCCTTGGCATGCCCACATTGAGCTCCCTTCTTTGCTCTCGCCTTTCCTTTCTAGCCTGTTTAGATCCTTCGGGCCTCCATGAACTTCAGCAGCTGCCAGCGCACCTCCGCACAGGAGCGCTGGACAGGTCCCTGGAAACAGCGCAACGCAGGCACCCCCTGCAAAAAAGTCAACTTCCAAACTCTAACCTAACAACCTTCTACATCAATGGTGCCCAGTAGAATGTTGATGCAGGCCTCCGGGCTCAGTGCCCGAATACCCTCTTCACGGGGCTTGGGTGGCAGCCGCTGCAAAGCAGCCTGAATGAAAGACCCTGCAAAATGCGGAGGTTCGTAAAGGCAGTTCAATGTGGAGAGTCTGTCAAAGATTTACTCAAGCACTCTTCTTGAAACAATCATTCTTATTCACATCCAAATATATAGCAGGTCCACCAGTACAGGTTTTGCTTCGGACAGGAAGCCGTCTCTAGAAGAACGCAACATACAATATAACTGGATCAAGAGCCCATGTTGCGATGTGGCTGAGACACAGCGGCATGCCGTGACGTAAGTGATCCGCGAAGCATGCCCTGCATCAAACATTCAGGGAGAATCCACAGTTGTAAGTGCAGCAAGGCGTCGCGGAGGCGTCTCAATGCAGAGTGCAGCCGTGATGGCTGTCTCCTCCAGCTGAGCCGAGGTGCTTACCAAGGCATGCGTCTAAGCCGAATTCCAAAGAGACTTCAGCCGCAGTCCTGCTCGGAAGAGAGCGTAATTCAAGGCATTGGTGCGTGCAGGCCGGCAGGAGGTGCCTCGGCTGAAAGGTGATGTCTTCAGGCTCACCCAGAAGGTGAAAAAGAAGAGCTCGGAGGGCTCCAAAATTTTGCCAGAAATCTCCAGTCGCTGAAGCGCTGCTGGATGCGGCGCTTCAGAGCTCGAGGCCAAGCCTGCCATCGTCCGCTTCTACTTCTAGCTTGCTTCTCAGGCTACCGGCGCTTGCAGGAAAGGCACCTCTTCCTGGCAGCTCCCAGCTCAATGCCTCCGCCCGGACCATGAGGCGTGGGGTTCTGGGGTTCAATGAATACAAGCTTGAGGATCAGAGGCCTCTGGACTGGACCCTGGAGACTCTTTCAACCTAGGGTCACTTGCTTGATTGCCACGCAACGGCAACAAGATGTCGTCTACAGCAATTCGTGCCGACCCAATGACGAATTCCCTGCACACATGGGCCGAATCGCAAGCCCAGATTTTGTCATCTGGATGGGAAATGTAAATCCAGCATCGCGCCAGCGCAACCACAGAAAAGAAATGATGTGAAAGCTGACGCCTCAAAAGCCGCCGCGCTTCGGCGAACGGCTGCGGCACCTCAATCACTGGCTTATACGACCCCTGCCTCAATGACGTTTTCAAAATCCCGTGCCCCAAATGTGCGATGTAACCATGCGTGACCTGAATGGCGTGTAGCACTGGAACTTGGCGCTGGATTTTTGCTGGGCTTTGCATGAGGCGGGCTCTGCTGCAAGGTTCCGTCTATGGTTGCATTCAGTAGTTGCGGACTTCTGCAGAAGCCTGTCGCCCAGCCAAGCAAACGAATCTGTGCCTCCCTGCAAATAGATATGTGCACAAGGTAGTTCCGTGTCTCTCTATCCGACTCTCCTAAGATTTGAGACAGACTGCTCACTGTGAAAGCCGCACCGGCACCGTTTGAAACTTCCCCACATCTGGCTTGATGCAAGATGTGTCACTTCCAGGAGCAAGCTTGCAGCTCTTCTTCAAGGTCATGCGCTATCAGCCGGCAAGGCGCTTCCAACTTATCTTCATGCAAAACATCTGTTACAGACTGGAGTCGATAAGAATCGGCCGTGATGGCCTTAACTTGCAAGACCGGACAAGTCTGCAAGGTGCGTGGTGCAAAGGTTACGGAGTTTCAATCCCGCAAAGGCTTAAGCTACCGACTCGGTAATACCGACAGGAAGAAATCGCGAAAATTTTACACCTGCAATCCAGATCGGCGCCTGCACTCGGAGGTGCCTCCTCGGCAGTTGCTGCTGAACGGCGATAGGCGTCACCTCAGCCCAGCTCTGCTCTGTTACTCCCACAACAGCTCGGCATGGACACCGGCGAAAGGCAACTGAAGGCCCGGGCTTAGTTGACTGAAAGTACAGCCTGGAGAAGTGCCCAGCACCTGGGTAGCGACCGCTTCTGACAGTCTCTGCACTTCATGACGTCATAACCGTACAAAACGACTTCCAGTCTGAACAACTGCATGCTGTCGAGAACTTCCTGGCAACCAGCTCGAGGCATCAGATTATGTGTCAGCTGCGACGCAGCATGCGGATCCGCAGACATTTCGCCTCAGAAACCACAGACGAAAGCGCTATGGTGATCCGTGGGACGGGGTGGCCCCTCGGCTTCGCTCTTGAGTTTAGAGACTGCACTTAGGCGTTCGGCTAAGACTAGTCTTTGCTCGCATCGCTCACCTGCCTCCGGCGGCGAACACGGCAGCGTGCAGCCGCTGCCGATGCTCCGGTCCAGTTCCTGATGTAAGGTTGTGTCACGGCGGTCACAACATGAACGCAGAAGCCCAGAAAAGCTCAAAGCTGTCAAAAGTGTTGCACAAGCATGCTGCCTAGGGGATACTAGCAGAGCTTGAGCAGAGCTTGAACGCAAGACGCAGTCACAAGAGAACAGACAGCGCAGCCGCCGCTCTCTCATGGTAACAGCTCCCAAAGGCCAAGCGGCAGCGGCCGCGTGCGGACAAAACACACGATGCCTCCAGGGAGATGAAACCCTAAGCCCCATGGATTTCGGGTTCGTGCGCGAAATTCTCTCCGTGGTTCGGGTCCTATGCGGCTTGCAAACGCGATGAGTGCTTCTTGCGGCTTGCACTTCCTCTGCCAATGCGAACATCTGCGAATCCTGCAGAAGGGGCAAGTCCTCTTGAGTGGAGTCGCGGGGGTTCAATGCATAGGCTGTGGAAGAAGGCTCCGCCAAGCGTAGGCACGCCCAAGCTCGCCCCCAAGCATGCCGTAGAGACAGTCCGGCTAGAGATGTGTCCGATTGCTGCGCCACGTGCTGCCGGAACCACATCAAGAGAACATCTGCTGGGCTCAGCCGAGGCGCAGGATCCGTGAAGATGCTAGCATTGCACGTTCACAGCAGTAGGCCCAGCAGTGGCAGTAGCAGTAGAAGCACGCAAAGGCCCACCTCGGCTCAGGCATTCGAAGCTTTGCGTTGTGAGTTTGAAGATGATTCTGCATGCAACAGCTGACACAGCTCAGGCCCGCAACTCGATGACCCTGGACCTGAATTCCCGTGACACCAAAAGCAGTAGGTCTGTAATTTCTCCATGTCTGTACTCGTGGCTGACAGTGGAAGCTGAGCTTTAGGCCCACCATTGAGACAGCAGAGAGCGAGACCTGCAGAAGAGAAGCTTCGCTGGCACTGCAAACGGCCCTGTGCTGCAGCTTTGTGGCTACGAGCTTCCGTTGAGCCCCGAGCACGAAAACTGGAGCGGAATCCATGTTGGCCATCATGATGAATGCTTTGGTTGGTCCTTGCATCGGCTGAGAGCGGCAGCAGCTTTCGGCACAACGACCGTGAACGCAAAGGGAATCGATGTCCTCAAAAGGAAGTGGTCACCGGGGACGCGAGTGCTCCCACAGACTAAGCTTTTGGGCCAACGAAGTCGGACAAGGACAAGCTACGGATAGCTCTCCCTTCTTCAAGTCTAGGATCGCGAGAGTGTGGAAGACCCACACTAAAGGCGTTTTCGGCTGAGTAATGTGGCGCCGCGCAGACGGCCGCCCTCGCGGCAGGAGCTTCGAAGGAGGCAGAGGTGCTCGCTACGGGGAACTCACCAGAGAGCACCGAGCACGCCCCAAAACACAGCGGCCTGATCATCCTTTTGGATGTCAGAACGTAACATGTCAGAACCCCTGGCATCTCTACTCCACCAAGGAGGAGGCCAGGGTCCAACCTACTCTCTTGTTAGGAAGAGACAGCAGAAGGAAGCTCTTAGGACCTGAGAGACTTCCGCTCACGGCATGGAGGTCGACACCACACCTGAGCCACGCAGCAATCGAAGTAAAGCGATCCAGGTCGGGAAAACTAGGCTGTGCTTCTACGCCGGCAGAGAATCAACGCCAGAGGTTCTTTAGCTTGAGAGCCTTCCTGAGTGCCCTGCCTCACCTTGGCAAGAGCTGCCTCGGAAGAAGATTGGCCTTGGAAGCTACGTTTCTTGAGCCACACACACATATTTCAAAGAAACTGCTTCTCCTTGCACCTGTGCGGCAGCACACTCAGGCCAATGCAATGGCGCTCCCCACGGCCTTGGCAGCCCTTGTGACCGGACACCTGCGAACGCTCAAGGCCCAACCGAACCCAGACACCGGATACGCGCCGCCCCAAAACACACTCCTGTAGCAGCGTAGCAGCTTTCACTGCTGAGCCGCCTGGATTCCCGCGGCCTCTCTTCACCAAGGCTCGGCCTCACAGCTTTGTCGTCTTTGCAAGGCAGAGCCAACACTTGAATGCATGCCTCGTACGGCGGATGGCACTGTAGGGTCCAGCCTCTCATGGCGATGGCCCACTGACTCGCTCTGCATTGCAATACTCATCTGCTTGCCAATCTTTGCTTCCCTTTCAGAAGACGTGCTCTCGTCTCAGCAGCCGCTCACTTAGTCACTCTGTGCAAAGCCGCAGACACAGCTCAAGCTGAAGCTTGGAGCGCGGCAAAGTTATCGTAGTCCTGAGCCGCTCCTAACCTTGCTGTTAATATCCTCCTCATAGCTCTCTTACTGAAGTACAGGAAATCCTTAAGTCTTGATCACATGATAGGCGCTCTGAAACTCTCGTGCACGAGTCCTTGGGATCGTAAGGTGGGTCCAAAAGACGGCCCACCTGGGAAGTCAATTTCACGCACAGCAGTCATGGGGCGGTCTGGCTCGACGGCTTCTGAGAAAGTCATAAGCCTGGGGCCACCGGATACTTGGCCACGTAGGTCTCCCAGTATGTCCTCGGGTAGCTGCGCTGTAGAGAAGCTGAGAGCATCTGGACCAACTAATGGTGCGCACACAGACACACGCTTCGCAGCTCGGAAGCGACTGGAGCCAGGCAATCGTCATTCATTGTTATGGTTAAGATCCCTACGAATGCAGTCGGATCTCCAGTCGCTGAGCAACTAGCGTATCACCCTCAAAGCGTGCAGACTAAGACCAGGCTCCGGTTCAAATGCCGCAGCTGCTTGTCACTGAGGTCATCCAGACCTCGCCACTCGAAAGAACTTAGAGTCGCTAAAGGCGGGTCCTGGCCGCCGAGGCTGGGGCCCTGGTCCAACATGTCCACCTTTGTCAAAAGCGTGGCTCGCGGAGCGATGCGCGCCGGCTGCGAAAGGAGCATCGGGGAGGGTTGTTTCGGAACAGCTGTCGCGGTCCGGTAGCCTGTAGTCCCAGTTACAACGACGACTCCCCCGAAGCGAATTCCGCTTCAAAGGGCTCGGGAGTGTCTAGAGGCAAGAAGCCAAATTACCTTTCTAGGCCTGCCAATCAACTTCGTGCTCCGGCAAAGCCCTTCAGGCTTGCTAGCATTAGTGGCGGGTTTTGGAAGGGCAAAAGCTCGTTAGTCTATCTACGGCAAACCCTTCAAACCGCCTGGAAACGCCAGCTGTCTTCACTACCCGAACATGAAAGCCTTGACCCTAGCTTTGCCGGTATTGCCACCCTTCCGGAAAGCAATGTGTTTGTGGCCCGAGCTCTACACGCACCAGCTTCAAAACAAGCTCTGCTGCCTTGCTTAAGATTAGATCGATTCCTCTGTTGGATCTCCATCTTAAAGCGTAACATGCCTTAAGCTCGCTCCGAATCAGGTGTTGTGGTCTCAGCATGTTTCAGGATAGCGGTGTTGAGCAACAACTTCTATCAACTGGAGAGTTGCTTCCCTAGGCCATGACCCTGTATGGCCGACACGGTATGTACTTGAAGAGCAGAAGGACAACGCACCGGGTTTGTGAGCTTCTGTCTACAGCCATGTCTAAGGAACTACTCGTGGATTTACTTGAAGATTGAAGAAGGCAGAGTGAGTGAGTTTGCGTGCTGCCAAAGCGAGACAGCAAAGAGAATGGAAACAAGCTTTGCTCCATATACAGCCATGCAGCCATGCATTGGTCTGTAGTACACTCCATCATTTTGATGGAAGTATGGTCTGCAAGGCGAAGGGCTCCCAACAGGTTTGAGAAACTAGAACACCAGGTACCACGCGTCAGCTACGACCGTCTTATCCAGCACTGCAGGTTTGAGGAATCTCGGAGCTTTTCGGCTAAGTCGGCGTCCCCGTTGGCTCTGAGAATGCGCGTTGGCCAAGCAGGTTGTCCGGGCTGCATGTTTCCGAGGCACGCGCCTGGCGTCTCGTCAACGCGAAGGCTCGAGTGCAGTCGTGTCCTGCGGAGAAATCGATCTTAACTGATTTTGGTCGGAATGAAAAAGGAAGCGGGCATTGTTCAGCTCTTGCGGCACTTTTGTTTGACAGCTTCCGTCTCCAAACGAAAGACAAGTCCTGCAAAGAGTCGATATCCCTGACCTTCACCGTAGAACTCCTGATGGGAACCAACCGATGCAGGTGCCGTTGTCGCACATCTCCCATGTCATGACGCGTGCACAACGCCTTCCCACTGGAGACATCGAAGACGCGCCCCCACACTGCCAGCCTAGGAATCTGCCGGTAAATGACAGCTACTGGTGCCACAGGACAAAACTGACTCCAACGTTGAAATGCTCTTGGACCGTTGGACTGCTGAGCCGGAGACAGGAGGTCATCGTCCTTTCTCAAAGACACTGCTGAGCTTGGAAGCGCTCGATTGCGCACTGCGCTGAGAAAAGTCCAGAACTTAGCCCCGTCGTCCTTGACGTGATGCTGGAGCTCTGACAGGGTAAAGCTTGCCTCGGCAGACGAAAGAACCTGATAACACTACCACTGTCACCGAATAGCCATCATGCTCTGGGCGAGCCTCGTAGGTACCACCCATTTTCGACGAAGGGGCGAGTCGTTGCACAAAGCACACTCAGCACAGTGGCCCAAGCTTTCTCAAGACTCAGGGCACAGAAAAAGGCGCTTGTGTCCTGTCCAACATTCTGCCGGCATTTGCTTCTCGCACTACGTGCCTAGGCTTTCCAAATGATAGTCGTCAGCAACACTCCCCTACACAAGCCCAAATGACAGAACTTGGACTTAGTCTCTATACTCCGGAATCTCACGAAGGTGAGACAGGCATGACAGCAACATGGCTGGCCTCGCGGGGAGGCACTGAGCGTAAGGGCACATGCAGACTCTCGCGTTCTCACTGCTCACAGCCTGTAGGACTAGGAGTCCTCTGCACTGAACAACATGAAGCCCACAGGCCGCAGGCCTGACTACGCCCGGCCAGCACCGCAAGGCAAGGCAGCCTGGCAGAGCGAATCAGGCCAAGAATCAGCATCGCACAGAAACCACCGGAGCGCGGAGCAACACATGCAGGAGAAGTATGGACAGTATGTCTTTTCCGCGTCTTTGCATAGGTCGATCTCCCATAAGTACAAGGAAGTGGCAGCCCGACCATCCTTTCTCTCTACATGGCAGTAAACTATAGTAAACTACTCTCCGGTTGAAGCTCTGGGGTTGGGGTTGGTCTGCTCTCTCTGTACGATGGGACGACCCGAACACCAGGGCAAGCCACACAAGCAGGAGCACGAACTACAACCAAACACAGCACACATTGATGAAGGAAGGTGGATGTCGCTTGCCCTGTCACGAGGATGATGAAGCCTTTCTTAGCCTCTCCTAGCTAATTCGGCTGTCAGCTTCAGTCAGCTGTGCTTCAGCAGCTTCGCTGGGTAGCCAATCCAACTCATCGCATCTACGGTACACATACATCTCTCCATTCTTCAAGACGTGGCTGATGTGCTGTTACGTTTGGGGTGACCTAGCGACCTTAGCATGGTCTGTGTTAACTCTTCTGCCCTCGCGTGCAAGTGGCAGCTGTGAAACCAAAGGCACTCGAATTCTGTCTTCTGCATGGCAGGAGCAAAGAAGGGACTTCCTTAAGCTTTCACCAAAGGCTCGTATCGGTCGAAAATATGCAACTGAGCGATACTTCCAAAAGACGTTCGCCTTTGTCCCCGCATGTACATTCGCACTGGAAGCAATGCCCAGATTGGGCTACGATGTCTCATTGTTGCCTTGGAATACCAAAGCCACGGTGTCAAGTACTGAACTCCCTTACGTACACACGAAGCAAGCCTGCTGTGCAATACTCCTGCTTTGACGAGGCAGGCAGAATATGAACATCTGCAGCACAGACACAGATGCAAGTGACAGTGACTGAACACGGCAGCTGCATAGTGCCACCAAGTGTGCTAAGTTTTTCGATGAGAGCGAACTGCTCCCTCTCCACACGCTCCAGGGAATTGAGCTGAAAGACAAGCCTCAGAAAGGGTGCACTGCAATCATCAACTTCCTACAGAGAGGCTTCTCTAGCTGGCACAAACCGTTTCGCTTTTCGTACTGGACGTATGCCCTCATATCTGCCACTTCCTTACTGCAAGCGGAAGCGATTTGGCAGGGTTCAGACTCCGGGAAAGCTCTCTGAACCTCGTTCCAGCCCTTTGAAGTCCACCTTGCCGACTAGCGTCCTCTCGAGCTCCGCTGTTTTCTCCTGGATCGCTGCCTGCCATATGAAAACGCTGCAAGTGAACAGATCCGTCCCGGGTCCCCACCCGGCGTCCCAATCCCAAGGCCCTCAGGCAGCAAGAAACAAGCCGAAGGTGGAAGGTGGCACCTGCATGCTCAGCTGCTTCCGCCTCCGCGCCTCAGCCTCCATCTCGGCGCCTTGGCGTGCTAGCAGCTAGCATCAGTAACAATCTTTTAGGAAGAGCGCTGTCTCAGTAAAATCAACACTACTACCCCGAATCAGCAGGGTCATGCATCATAGCCAACTGACGGTGACGGTAGTTCAGAGCTCTTCCTCGGGTCTCCCTTTAGGGTGCTGTGTACTTAACACGAAGGACCCCGAACTGCTCGTGATAGCCCTACCTCCACGGGACATGCCATTTTGGCTTCGGAGCAGCAGCGCACGATAAAGGCACGTGAAACACGTCGGACAGACGACTGCTTCACTCGGCAAGGGATGTGTTTTGTCATTTCTGCAAGCCTGCGGCTGAGCACCGGTGGCTCCATCAGCCTGCATCATGCCGATCACACGGAGCCCACCTCGATTACCCAGATCTGTGGCCTCAGACTAACTCGTGAGAGAAGCAGTTGGTGCGGATTTGTTCTCAAAGCCATCAGCTTGGAAGCTTCTGAGAGCTCTCGCGGATAGCTTGTTTTCTGCTGCCTTGCCGCCGCATCCTGCTGAAGACGCGACGCTCCACGAGATAAAACAGACCACGAAAGTCATTATTGTCAGAAATCAGGAGACGCCAGGAAACGGGAATCGCTCGCTAGGACTTGCTATCGACGTCGAAGGTGGCTGCTGTAAACGTTGGATCAAGCTGAGAAGCTGCGCACTATGTCCGTTATGACTGGCGCAATAGCTTCAACATACAGCCCGGCAACGAGCCACAGAAGCAGCAAGAAAGCCATAAAAGTATCCGGTGCCAAGGGCCACTGCTGACAAAGCTGACGAAAAACTGCGAGCAAAGGCCACTGAAAGAGATACACTTCGAAACTGTACTTTCCCAGAGAGACGAGTGCTGTGTGGCTCAGAAAGTAAGCGCCAAGACCGCCTTTCCTAGAGCCGTACATGAACAAAGCGATCGGCAAGGCCAGGGCGTGTGTGAGGAGAGCGTTGGAGTTGGTCTCACACTCTGCGTGGCTCAAAGGAACAGGCAAAAGAAGGACCAATCCCACGCAAAGCAACAAGGAGAGATCGGCCAGGACCGCCTTGGCAACCGCACTCCATCCCTCTCCCTCGTCGCGCTTCCGATCATCCTCTTTCTGACAGCAGTACGCCGTGATGACGCCAATTGCGAAATCACCCAGCTGCGCTGGCGGCCACATGAAACCAGTGGCGTACTGACCCCATGTAAGCTGCTGTCCCTGATGGATGTACAAGGTATAAAGTGGCCCAAAGGACACCAGATGCACCAACACTGCGGTGATCAGAAGTGCACAACGCCCATGCTTAGCATCAACCCGTTCAACAAGCTCCCGCAAGAAGGGATACAGGAGCCAGCTCGGGATCAAGGCTTCAATGGTCCATGATGGAGGTGCCGGGCACCACGTAGAAGGGCGGATCCAATGAGCCACAAACGCAAAGCAACTTAATGTAGTCCAAGCGCTCGGCATGAAGCTGTTTCTGTATGCTGGCACGGCCAGGACGACGAGGATGCTTGCAACCATGGCCACGTAGGTTGTTACGATAATGTAGGACAGGCGGCGGATGTAGAAACGTCCAATACTCAGCTGACCGCTTCGCAACCGCTTGCCATAGGACCACTGTGTGACAAAGCCGCTCATCACTACAAAAACATCTACCGCCATGAAAGAACGGCAAGTCGCAGCTTGAAGCACGCCTAGAGTAGACGCCGCCGGCATGTAATGCCCGCAGACGATCCACAATGCCAACAGACTGCGAATTCCGGTCAAGTGCTCGAGCACGTCCATGTGGTATATGCCGGAGATGGCACTATCAGTCACACGCCGCAGCGACTGGAGGACGTCGCATGTGTCGCAGGTTCCTGATCTACCTTTCTTCCGGGGATGTAGCTCCCGGTGACTACACTGGTGGACACGGCTTTGTCAAAAACCGCGGTGCGAGGAACTCGACTCCTGCCAAAAAAACAGTCCCTTTTGAAGCAGCCCCGAACATGTACAGGCAAACATACCCACGTACACCCACAACGAGGCACATACATGATCCCATATGCATTCAGACAGAGAATGAGAAAGGCCGACTCGCACATACATACATCGTGCATACAAAACATAGACGTACATAAACCTACAGTTCATTACATTACATTAAACTCATTACACTCCAATACACTGCGTTACATTGTACATGCATACATGTATGCCACATGCGCGCACACGCGCACTTCGAGACGAGGGCATCAGATGCCGGGGACAGCACGATTTCGCTGACCGATGGCCCGAAGCTTCTCTTCCTCAATCTTTTGCGCTTCTCCATCCAGCACCTGTCAGAGTCCACCAGCATCATCAGTGCATTGGCGTCATCATCGTGTCGTGATCTGCACTTCTGAAACAAGAATAGTCACATGAAGGCTGTAACGAATCGACGTGTAACAGCCCCGTAGAGGGGTCAAGAAAACACTCATGCGAATCTGAGCCTTAGTCGGTTTACCAACTAGACATCTCCAACAACCGTACAGTACTAGGCAACTTCAAACCTGGCCCATAGCCTACGCCCACGGATTGCAAACATCAGCTGATGCAAGCGGATCGTGACAGTGCTGGCCAAGCACGAAACGTTGCCAGAAGTCTTTCGTCTAAGAGTAAGAGAAGGGTGCGAACTTCTCACAGACGACAACACTGACAGAGTCTGATTTACAGAGGTTGCACTCTCTTTCTATCAGCAGAAGACCATGTTTATCGTCTCTCTCGACAAACAATGTTGACAGTCGTACAGTCACAGCCGCACCAAAATGTCTGGTGCCGTTTTCTCTGATGCAGATTGCGGCACCCTGGCCCTAAATCAATGATGACTGGTCTAAATCTTGGCTACAGTCTCTCACACTGCAGATTTACGGTGCCACAAGCAGATGAGAGCAGAAGATCCCACGCCTCCACAAGCATGTCCACTGTGCCACTGAAGGCCTCACCGTATGGAACTGGAGGGAGGCAATGCGTAGGGGACGGAAGAGAAGTGAGCTCCGACATGACCACACGGCGAGAGTGCTACAGGAGATCTGGCTTAACGCCAGTTTTGGACATCAGCTCTTCAGCCTAGAGTTGAGAGCTCTGGCGCCTGGATCTTGTCGGCAAAGCCGTGGCATTCGGCCTCCAGTGACCTGGTGGAATATTAGATTCGAAGTTTGCACCTCTGCCCTGGCTTATTGAGAGAAGCTGCTCAGTCTGCTTGAACTTCTCCTTGGGCATAACCCGGATGCGATTGTCCTGTCGGTCGTCCAGCGGAAGAGGAAACACTACCCTGACATACCCTGACCAGCCACATAATATACTCTAATGTAGTATCACGATACTACTCTATATATAATGTAGAGTAAGAAAGTATAGTATAGTATACTCTAGTTATGCCAGGCTGAGCCCAGACTGATAATTAATCGTGACGGCCTCATCGAACGTGATGTCGATGTTCTGCTCCGCCATGCTGAGGATGCCACGCTATGACGTCTCTGGCTTCTAGTATAGTCTGTACAGCCCGTCACTTCCGAGCCCATGTATTTCAACACCGTGCGAAGATTCCTGCCTGTAAGCTAGGCACCGATGCATCAGCATCGACTGTCGATGCTTCTTTGCGGGGCATACTTTCAGCAGCTTTTCCTTTCCATCATCTGCGTCCAGTCTATTGTGGTATATTGCCGACAACATCTATGTCAGGTGCTTCAATCGCAAAGGAGGTGACATCGCTCACCCCAGCGACAACGAGCACAGCGCACAGAGTCCATATTCACACACTGAGCGTGCACCAGCTTGGTACCGGTGCTTGCTGAAACAAGCTTTGCTGCAGGCGTCGATGCTGTTCCTGCAATTTTGCACGGAGAAGTCGCGCAATTACAAGTTTCGTCCTTTGCCTTAAGGATCACCGGCTCTCTGGCCACATGGGACTAGTCTTCTACAGTCGACTGCTAGGTGCTCTTCTCAAGTTCCGACGCGTAGCCCTTTGAGGCGGGATTTGGGGAGTCTACTTGCGCTGCAGTGACGCCTGTGAAAGTCACTTAAGCGTTCAGCTCCAGTGATGCGCCCCCTGCACTGGGCTTCGCTTATTTAATTACGGCCCGTTGAGCTTGACAGCTCCAAAACAGCCTGTAGAGTCAAAGCTGTTTGGTCCACACTACACCATTGTTCCAGGTGATCTTGTCCCCATCCATCTTGCCTTTGAAACCTTGGCGAGGAGACTCGGATGAAACGAGTACCGCCCCCCGGTCTGTTGAACATCGCAGTGCTACAATGACATCGTGAGACCGCTTTTGATATCCCTCTCGGAATGCTTCGAGGCACCAAAGTAGTCCAGGCCGTCTCCGCTGCAGAACTTCGAGGTCTCCAGAGTCTGCTTGCCCACTGTAGGGTGGCTGATGACCTCGGAGTCTTTCGCTTCGGTCGATGATCTGCGACCTCTTGCCACGAGAAGCGGTAACGGCATCAACAACGACTCCGAGGGATGTGCCGAACCCACTCACGGAGTCGACAGCACGTTGACTGCTATCTTCAGACAAGCTGCCACAGACTGTCCGGTGCCTGAACAGGCAAACTGAAGATAGCAGTGTACAAACGGCCAAGATGTGCACAAGCTTTTCACGATCTTCCGTGGAAAAAGCGATAAGCGCTTTCTCGGGTTCTGAGATGTCCATGTGTGGGCCTATGTCACAACCATGCAGTGGCCGTGAATCTCAAAAGCCCACATCTATCGACCATGGCGAGAACGTCCACAGCCCTGATGACATCTGCTGACCATCATAGAAACAATGTCGCGGCCAACTGCTAAATACTTGTTGTTGCTTGTATGTCTACTGATGGGCAGCCTGTCCACCGAGTTCCGGGCCATCCACTTTGATGTCAATTTCGCCCCCAGAGCTGTGCTGCCAACGGCCCTGCGTCTGGTAGGGCGACACCATTTTGCCTCCACCAGGCAGCAACACGTCAACATCTACATCACGCAGAAAATCCTTCTTCGCTTAGCCATAGACTTGACTGAACAGATCACACCATTTGACTGTGTGGCTGCCTGGAGATGGGGTGACCAATACACGGAAGCCAGGCTCCCTGTGTCTGTCTGGCTGTCTTCAGCTTGGAGCCGAAAGAAATGCAGTGCTGGAAGTTGATGCGAATCTTAGCCACATACAGCCTGCAGCAAGACGCTCTTTGAGAAAACCGCTGAAAAGCTCGCCCTAGCAAGTGCAGGCTGTCTCATTTTCTCCTGCTGGTGACACGATGCGATGGCAGGAACATCTCATTGACAGGTAGTGCAGGAGCCACGTCAGTCCCTTCAGTTCCTGCAGCTGCAATCGGGAAGCAAAGTAGTGGCCTTCAGGTGTGGAGATAAATTCAACGGCCTGGCTTCACCTGCCCGGACACATCCGTGCGGTTGGTTCTGCAGGAACTGACCCCACAGGGACTGTGTGGCTCGTCTCTCCGCCCAAGCACTGCCCGCAGTGCCACATCACCACGGCAAGGTGTGACTTCCAAGACTTCTCAAAGCGCCTATGGCTGCTCGCATATATTGGCACCTGCACTCCAAGCTTCCTTCTTCCGGTCTTGAAACGTTCAGAGCACTACTCGCGAGAGCTGATGTGTCTAGCCGATGCCATACAGACTTACAGGCTTAGGCTCAAGATTCAGCATGCAACCTTGCGTAACCCTGTCCCTCAAAGGTGCAGCTTGGTGCCATCGAAGCGCACAAATTCTCTCGTAGCAGGTCGTAACAAAACCAAAACGTATTGCAAATCCTGGATACTCTGCAAACCTCCATTGATACCCTGGGTGCATCTCGGTGCCAAAGTCTAGGTGCTCGGTGCACCTAACTGAACCATTCAGTGTTCAAGCTGGGTCTGTGCCAGTCGGCCGTTGCTGCTGAACGTAGGAACGTCCTTTGCACAGCAGAAAAACAGCAAATCGATGCCTACCGTCCTCCGTCCTTTAAGACTTTCCTGGTAGACGAGTCGGCCCAGCAGCACTGCTCGGTTCGACACGTACTGAAATTGCTCCAGGCCACACATCCAGGTGTTGGCACCACTTAGTGTGCTGAAAAGCTATGGTAGCGGCTCTGGGCTCAGGTCTGCGGCTTGTTCCGGGTTCCTGTTCTGTCAGTGTGGCCGAGGCTACAAAATGGACGAGTTTATGCACACCTGCCAGACTTCTCGCTTCTCCAGTCTCGTTGACAGCCGCCCTGTCAAGAACCTCTTTGCACACGATCATAGCTCAAACTGAAGCAGAGAAGGCAGCTGATCTTATAGAGACGGCTCTTTGTGCAGGTTCCAGTCTTGCCAACTGTTGGCACCCACACAGCCTCGACTCATGACTGCATTTGGCGACCCATGCACCAAGGCCTGCCAGCCTCAATTTCAACTCGACAGGCCGCTGACTCTGCCGACAAGAGAAATCTCGTCCGAGAGACGTCGCCCCTCGAGTGTGAACCACGTGCCCAACTCGCTTTCCGAGCTAAGCTCTGCGTTTCGGACATGGCATCGCCACCAAGCTGAGCGGACACATTGCGCAAAGCTCGTCAATTCCTGCCTCCTTTCGTTGCAAGGCAACATTGGTACGAAAGGAACATGCCCCTTTTGCAGCACGGAAGAACTACATAGCCAGCAGCAGAAGTTAGTGGCAGAAGTTTGGAATCAGACGACGAGCTCGGCTAGAATCTGAGGTTCCTCGACTTTGTCAGAGATATTGACAGAGCAGAAAAGAATTAAGCAAAAAACCAGGGAAAAAACACGACTCGCAAGTCAAGTTCAGGAGACCGCTGGTCGAATTCAGAGACAACGCTACCTTGGAGACTCCAAGATCTCGTGAGATCGTGTTGAGTGATCCTGAACTCGATGCTCCCGGAAGAACAGCCTTCTTTGCCGCGAGCTGCAAGCAGTTGGGTCAGTCAACACCTCACGGACATCAATATTTGTCTCAGGCTGGACGAAGGCCAGAGCTGCAGATGAAACATGTCACTTCTGGGCCCCCTGTGCCTAGACGTCGACCTCGCTGTTCTTGGGAGTCTCGTCCTCCTCTGTCAAGGACATTGCGGAAGGTGGCCGCAGGAGGCGGCGTAACTTGTGCATTGTCTGTATAGTACTGGGCGCCTGTCGATGACATGGCGACTTGAGAGCTTCGGAGGGCAGCTTAAGGCCTGGCCTCTCCATGCCCATGAAACTACCGAACCTTGCCGCATGCAACCGCCCCATCGCAGCCCGACCCTAGACAACCCAACCACAACCGCACCGGTCCATTGACGCCTTGCTGCCACCGCCAAATGTCAGTTGTTTCGCAACTGAAAATTCTGAGGACTTTGCGCCACTGAAAGCAACAGTTGCAGCTACGTGTATGGAAAGCGGGCATTGGAGAAGAGATGTATGCTCCAGTACGCAACAAACCAAGAGCGCTCGCGGTCCTTCTTCTCGTCGCCGTTGGTCGTGGGCTTGGACGTCACACCGGGCACCTGGGACTTGGAGAATACAAGAAGGATGTCAGCGGCATCATGGCATGCGGCCAGCGCTTGCACGAAACCCAAATAAGGCAAATAATGGTCTCTTGAGACCGACCTCTGCAAGAGTAAGTTTAAGCTTTAATGTCTCCTTGGGTGCTTCGTTAAGCGGACAGTCGCAGCGAGAGCTTCATCGCATTCGAACGAGGACGCCACGAACTCGGAGGCATCCGCACGGAGGGAGGCAGAGCCAGGCCCCTGGCCGCCAGTGGCGTTTACGACTGCTGTCAGGCCCTTTTCTGAAATTGCCTTCAATCTTGTTTGTTTCACATTCGGTGCGGCACGTATGCAAAATCGCATGCAAAAAAAGGATTGCTCTGCAGGCAAGCTCATCCTCCTCATATTGATGTAGTACCTGTTTTCCCTTCCAGGAGCCAGCTAACAGGTCCAACCCGTTAACATGATGTGTGCCTGAGCCGGGGCTGAGGGCAGAGAAACATTGCCGCGAGCGATCGTGAGCTTCAGCAGCTGCTTCTCCTTGCACTCCTGAAAAGGCATAGGCCAGGGTAGCTATTGGAGGCACCCGAAGATTGCCCTCTCCATTCAGTAGACCTCATCACCCCTGAACGCTGCGCAAGCCTCGAACCCAACCTTCCAAAGCTAAAACGGCCTGGAGCATCTTGTTAGGGTCGTAGCAGATCTGGTTGACACTGATAATTCGATCCTTGGAATGTCGCTTCTTCCGACTGCTGTTCGTGGAGTTGGGCTCAGGGACCCTTGTCCAGGGCAAGATTATGCCTGCCGTACGATGTGATGACGCTGCTAAGGGAATCCCCTGCGCCGGCCAAGGAACTCCTTGAAACACGGCTTTCTCGGTGAAAGTGCTTCCTGCGAACAAACATACTGCAGCGCGAGCATCCTTACCGCTAGATCTTGTGAAACATCGAGCAAGCACAAGCCCACCCACATGCCATCAAGTAGAACCTCTGTCAGGCAACACGTTCGGGCCTGGGCCCAAGCACTGGCGATTCCAGGCTTCCACAGCTCCGCCAGGGCGGATGCCCTCCACACACAGCACGCGATCCTTGGCAGGAGTGGAACCCTGTCTTTGTGGTCATGGTTGCACGAGCAAGGGTCAGTCTTTACCCTGCTTTGGTGTCATTCACGCGTGGGGTGCTGCCCTGTTCAACTGTTTGCTGCTTCCCTTCATCTGCAGGGCCCGGGCATCGTTGGAGTGTGACACGTTGAGCCCGAGCTCGGTGCCATCTGCCTGTTCCAGCGTCTGAGATCTCATTGCGCAGATTGACATGGGGCTGACATGCTGCCTTGCGCAACGTGAAGCTGAAGATCCCGTTTCCACCAACCATGCCTGAAAGCTCAAGAGCTCGGTCCGGTGCCAGCAACGCACTTCTCTCGTGAAACTTCTCTCCGCAAATCTCCGGCGCCTGCCCCTGCACGCCCATTGACAGTGAAGGGGGATGGCATCTCAATCAAGGACTGCATCAGGGACACCGGCGTGCGTTGAGGAGTCGCTTGACCTGGCCAGAAACATGAAAGCACGCGAAGACCCCTGCAACCGGAACGGAATCCTCCTTCTACAACTCAGGGGCGTCGGCCTAGCGACTCCGCCAGAGAGATGGGTGCCGACAGGGGCACCGGAGAGCTGAGCAGCGGGAACGCCGGTACCTGAGAACACCCGTGGGGTCCCGGGATTTCACGGAATGCTTGGAGCCATCATCGTCTTCGTTGTGGCGACGGTGGCCGTGGATTATCACTAGTACTGGCTTCTGGAAAATGTCGGCATCGTAGTCTCAGTCATGGCAGTGGTGATGATGGTACTCACGATCATGTTATGCCCGACCGCACCTCCGGCAACGCAGACGGAGGCGTGTCTGGATCTGTTCGTGGCTTGGGAGTGAAGGGCGTCGCAGCCTGCGCTTTGTAAGCGGCAGAATGACGCACGACGCAAATTAACTGTACGGTTGAGAACGAACAGTACAGCAAGTCGTCCGGACTGTCCGCTCTCCAAGATCAGCCGTACGCGAATCCCCGATGTACAACACACGGCCTAACCTGTCCAGCATTTTAAGTTCTCTCACTTGCTGCACGCCATTCTCGCAGGGCATCGCTTGCGTCAATGGGCTTTCAGTATATGCGCATGGCTCTCGTTCTAGCTTGTTGTGCTACACCTACTGTTTCCAGACGACGAGATACGGATGGCTAACAGTAGACCGCAAAGGAAAACGTGGAGAGAGTCAATGTTGCTGGATGATGATGTCCACTTTGACGATTCTAGGAATGCAAACAATTTCTCAGATCCACAGCAACACCTTTGCAGCATCGCTCTCGACTTATAAGTGTTACGGGGCTGGCCTCCACTTGTTTGCTGGCCTCGGGCTCTTCGACTGCAGTACCTCAGCCCGAGCTCACTTCGCACGGTGTCAAACGTCCAGGAGGAGCTTCTCAACGCTTCAATGTAACGAGCATGACTCGGACGGCACACATATGCCATTGCAGCCAAAAGACTCGCGCAAGAGTCCGGAGATCCGTAGGGCAAGTCCTGACTGTCTACACGCATGAAGGCATGAACAGTCTATGATTTCATGGTGTCGGCAGATCCTTGCCATTGAGGTAGTTGCCACCGACAGCCGTGAGTCCAGTGGCCAGGTCGTGGACGAGCTGATCATATGCACCAATCGCCGAATAATCGGCACTTCTTCGGTTCAATTCACGGTGCTGAAGCAAACTAAAGTCGTGCCAAGCGGACCTGATTCAGACGCATATTTTCCTCTTCCAAGTCCTGGCTGCTCTTCTTGAGACGGGCCTTGGCCAGTGATGGCCAGTGTGGCTTCCTCCAACCCAGATCCCTGACCTAGGCCATATCCGAAACGCACGAGGTCCCAGCAATTTCGTCCAGGTGCTGCTGCACGGTCTGCTGGTGGCGCTGCCTTAGAGCGAACTCGAGGCATGACCGCATCGAAGCGCTTACAAGCTGCAACATGAGGTTGATAAGCAAACTTCTACCATATCTCCTACAGTAACCATGCCTCCTGGTCATGTGTATGATTCGCGTTTGTGACCACACCCATGTGCCCCACGATGCTTCAACATCATCGGATACGCCCTCTTGCGAATCCGCGAACTTCTGCAGAAACGGTGTGGTGGCTTCTAGACTGCTAGACAGCTTTGCACTTGCACTTGGGAGGGCCAAGCCTTGCTGCTTTCGAGAAAGGAGACAGGTGGACTGGAAGAGTGAAGAACGATGGACAAAAGATACGGTACAGGTGCATGAAAACAAGCGATTTCGTCAGTTACGCTGCAGTACCCCACGTAGCTTCAGAAGTTTCTTCGCACACATTTGGACATGTGCTTTTCTGCGGCCGAATAATGTTTGGGAATCTCGAATGGCCTTTGCCCTCTACCATGCATGCGGATATAGGCTCTTGCGACCGTTCAGTGATCAGTCATACCGCTGTCGTCGGAGGTTTCAAAAACACAGACTCTCTTCCCGCGTGCAAGTCCAGCCAGCACATGAGTAGGTGCAAAATACAAACTTCCAGCTGCCGCATATCCGGCAGCTGCACGGTGGTTCATCGTAATTGGGGAAATATTGGGAGCATCTGAGCGTTAAGACATCAGTAGGATACCTGAATCCTACTTCCCAGCTACCACGCGCATTTTGACGTTTGGCCGACGTCAACAGACTCGTGTCTGCAAGAAACCTGGTTTCGTTTGAAAACGCAATCAACATGATGCAGGACGGCATCATGACATGTTTGGTGCATACATGATGATCGGACGTATGGAGCGGGCTTCATCTGCGCGACCACCTGGCTCAACACTGGGCTTCGCATCCCTTGATTCGCAAGGAATGCCTGACATACCACGCATGCCTGCTTGCCCCTGTTCCACATCTCTTCCGTCTTCTCTTGAACCTGGCCGGGTAGCTGAACCAAAACCTAACTCAAAAAGTCTGCACACAGTTCAGAGCATCAACCATCTGCTCAGCTGGAAAGGGAAGACTGACATGTTCAAGACTAGTGCGGCGCGCCTTGTACTCAACCTCCGACATGACCAGCTCTTGAATTGCCTGCTTCTGCTGCGAGAGCTTTAATGCAAGAGTTGTCTATTGGCAGCTTGCCCGATGCCCTGCAACCGAATGCTGTGCAGCCCTTCTTCAGCTCATGGCTGGATTCCGTCAAGCTAGGCACGGAATGCGCCAAATCTGCCTGTGCTGCAGCTGGCGGCATCACCCGCAGCTACTATGCAGCCGCTCTCACTGCAGATCTGGTCCAAGCGAACCAATCGTTGGCAGTTGTGCTGGAACTAGCTGTCACGCTGTACATTTCCGGGACAAACAGACAAACAAGGAACCACACGCTTCCATCTGAAGCTGTGAATTTCATGCCACAACAGTCGACTTTCACACGAAAACGCAGCTCACATTCAATTGTTTTTCCGGAGGTAACGCTGGAACACACCTGAGATGGTCGTGGACAACACCCACGAGGAGCTCTTGGCTGGATGTGGGCTTGAGGATATGAAGAAACCTTGAACTGAAAACCTCAGATCAGGCCTAATCGAACTTGCAACTGAGGTTGTGGGAGGGAGCCCTTGCAGCCGGGAGGCAGGCTCCTGCAGCCCCAGCCGCCATCAGCGTGACAGGCACAAGGGCTTTGCGACAGATCTGATGCCAGGAAGGCTTCCTGGAAAAGGCTCAAAATGGGAAGCCCGGTACAGACTGAAAAAGGGAGGTTCCGATGAGGGATACCTCATTTTGGGGTCCTTATAGTAAGGATCCTACCATATCCTACCTACTACTCAGGGTACTATATTTGGGTCCCCTATTTCTGGAAACTCCCGTACAGACTTCTGGTCTAGTACGTAGCAGACTGACATGCCAGTTCTGCCTGTCCTGACAAAGAGCTCCTCGCAACCGCCATGCTCAACAAAGTGCTCGATCGCATCTACACAGGCCTGTACAGAATCCAGTCTCGGTCAGTGATGCATATATGGTCCAGGACAGATGTCCCACATCAGAAAGGCCTGAATGACATGTATTTAACTCCGGAGGGCGAGGGTGCTGGGCCATTTCATTCCTCCTCTGAACGGGAGGAGGTTAAGCCGGTTAAGCTCTGAGTGGGTCTGTGAAAAACACCGGGTCTCGCCTCGCCTCTGCGCCTCCGGTCTTCAGCATCGACCGCTGCAGCTCCGAAGCTCGCTTCGCGTAGCTGCCATCAACAAGGACCTCACAGGCTGACGCTTGCTTGCACTTGCTTGCGCTTGCAGTACAGCTAAACATCGCAACCTGCTCGCCTTGCTGACGGCGGTGGTGACGGCAGCGGCAGTAAGTTTTGGCGGTGACAGGACCTCCGCCAGGCCCCGTTCGCGAGCAAGCTTGGCATTGGCGGGCTGGTCGGCGCGGAACGGCAATGCAACGAGTGGCTTTCCAGCAGCAATAGTCTCGTTTAGCCCACCAAAGCCGCAATGCGTCACAACCACTGCAACGTCAGGGAGCTGCAATGCCTCCCCCTGTGGCAACCATTTCTGGATAAAGAAGTGTGCAGGCAATGCCTCTTTGCCCAGGGGCAACATTTCCTGTTGCTCCGGCTTCAAAGACCAAGCCACTGCACAGCGTGGCGACACCGCCTGGAGACCCTCGAACAAGGCTCGTACTTGGAAAGGCTCCAAAACCTGCATGCTGCCCATGGTCACGTAGATGATCCGAAGCCCCATGCCGCGGACCTCAGACAACAGAGCAGTGTGGCATTGAAAGCTGGAGCGTGATCTACCTAGACAAGCCTTGGGATGGCCCTGGACCGAGCCACTCGCTGCAACCACGCATTGAAACGTTCATCCGAGGTCTCCCGCAATATCGAAGAGGGTCTTGGGGCTGTTGAGCCGGTCATGACGATGTTGGGAGGCACTGGCCATGCAGCATCCAGGCCGAAGAAACTGTTCACCAAGCACAGCTGGGAGCTGAATGCAGGCATGAGATCGAACATTACCTGAAGGTGGAGAGTAGCTGGCTTAACTCAAGCACGTCGAGATTGCACCAACTCATAAGCCCGCAGTGCCTGCAGCATGATTCTGGTGTCTGTGACGCTCCGTGTGTTGAGGAAGGACATTGTGCAAAGCATCAGCACCAGCGAGATGCTCATGTTCTTGAAGAGCTCTAGCGGCCCCGGAACATTCAAGATGATAGGGATCCCACAGTCCCTCGCAGGCGCAACGCCTGCCAAAGTCACCATGTCCACCACGACGACGTCTGGCTGCTCCGACTGCAGCCAGCTTCGAAATTCCTCCCTCATCGCCTGGTCATAGTGCCTGCACATGAAACCGGACAGAGTCTTTCCACCTGATCTTCGAAGCAAACCTGTCTGCGTTCGCACCTGCGACCTGCGACCTATCATAGCCTACATGTATCACAGAAAGCCGACATTCAATGAATCGAGGGCCATGAGAGCAGTGGCAGCTCCTCAACAGCCTCGCCTGAAAAGGATGCCAAAGAGCCCTTTCGACGTCAGCTCTGCCGCCAGTCCACTCCCGGCATCCTCCGCTCAAAAGACTCCCAAGAAGTTTCACCCCCAAGCAAAGGATCCATATGTCTTGGTTTGCGGAGCATGGCTCCGAGCCCGGGATGCCCCTTGCCAGGCCGACGAACTCGCAGCCGGCTGCCGCGCAGCCTTTCGCGAACTTCTCTCGGGCACAGTCCTCGGCTCTCGGTCGCGTCGTCGACGCGCGGCCACGTGCGCGCATGTTGCCCTTTGCAGCTCCAAGCGGTCCAAGCGTCTAAGGTGACCAGGGCACTCTGATGCCCTCGCCGAGCCAGAGCTTTCGCAATCTGCACACACAAGGGGCTGCGCCACAAGTCACCGACGCTGCAAGTCCCGTATAGCACTGTAGCCTTGGCCCGGGCCTGCACTGTAGGGACCAGGTGGCCAGCCTCTGGAGTGGAGATGCAGGCGACCTTTAACCGGCGCACCTGCGAGGGGCCAGCACTCATCAACCCGAGCTCCTTCCGTGTCTCTAAAAAGGAAAATGTAGATGATGGATCCTTTGCAAAACACATCTCTGCACCTCACGGCTAACTGTCAGGAACTCCCTGGCCACCTTTCCAGCAGGCCCGGGCCTGCCGAAACGTGCTGAAGCTTCTACGAGCAAGCGCTAAGCTCCGATCGGATGCCTCTCTGGAGAGCGGTTCGCCAGCAAGCTGGGCAGTGGCTCCATGGCTTCACGAAACCCTCCTCCGTCGCCCACCCAGGTCAGCTGAGATTGCTTCGGCATTGCTTGTGAAACTCAGGTCGCCCATCGTGAGTGTAAGTGCTCAACAACGACGTTCCTTGAACAGATCAGATCTGCGAACCGAATCCACAAAAGCAGACGCACCTCCAGGATTGACTCGTGCGAGGCATCAGGACTCAGGGTTTTCAGCTTGGCCTCCAGAGCCTTCCGTCAGAGATGAAACGAATCCGATGATTCACGGGCTCGCGGGTCGCAATTTAATGGGCAAGTGGAAATCACAACACTTCTGAGCTTCACACCTCACGTGTCACGGGCCTCACCTGCAGTCTGGCTCTTGCTTCGTTCACAGAGATGACTGGTTGACTTGGAACAGAAGGGCTAGATTTCATGAGGCTCCCCAGATTGCTAGCGCTACGTTGCCTCATCCTGTAGCATACGACATAGACACAGCAATGCAAACCGCGCAGGTAATCGTATAAGACAGCTCTCACCCCAATTACCGCGCCTCCATAGCTTCTGCACCCACCGCGAAAGTCGCTGCAGAAAGGTCAGGCTCCAAGCCTTCCCGAATTCCCGAACTCTGCAATTAGTGCTCTTGTCTTGAGGAAAGCTACGCCACGGTTGCAGCACTGCAGCTCGCTTGCGACCCACCTGGTGGGGATGAGAAGAGCATCTGCCCGTTCCTGGGTAAGACTGTGACATGGGGAGCTCCTACCACTGCGATGCGATACCGGATCTTGCTGCAACTGGGAATCATTCTCGTCACAGTCACAGTCAGACCAACAGACGTCACAATCAGCTATGAGCCAAAGGAGCCACGCAACGCAGCCATGCAAAGCAGGATTGAGAATGAAACCATGTCAAAGACATATCATGTTCTTTTAGGTTCTTCTCATGCACCCCCGCACGTGCCTGAGGCAGTGCTGCTGGAGCCTGCGAGGGACAAAAACGGCGCATGGCCTGGCGTGGCTGACATGACCGAGCCTTCCTCGGATTTGAGCCAAAAAGCTGTGTCAGCAGGTCGCTGGCTGGAAACAGCAAGCAAGTCAAGCAACGCCCAGCTTAGTCTTCAACAATCTCGGCCGGTTCTCGTCGCTCCTGGCTGAACCTCGCTAGACAAATCCTCCAACACTCGACGTGCTGCGATCTACGAAAGAGCTAAGCCTGCGAGGGCTTCGAAGAGCATAGGGCAGGGAAGCCCAAAAGGCGAAGAGAAGCGATGCGCTGGAATGCCATCATTCCTTTGGCCCAGCATCGCCAGCATCACTGGTGCTCCTCCCCCCAACCACAGCATCCGCCATCACCAGCATCATTGCAGCTGCGTTTCTCCGACGGCCCGGTACTAGTGTGTGTGAGCACTCGGCAAGCTTCCGATGCTAAGCTCAGGACTGGGACCACAATGCGGGCAGCAGCAGAGCGGCCAACGCAACCCAAAAGCTGTTGTTGGAAGAGTTGGAAGATGACACCTTCAACATGCAGCTGTGACACCGAGGCCGCGAAGGAAACTAAGACAGCCGGTGCTGCACCTTTTCGCCCATGGCTGTGGGAACGTTGAACGTTGGGAGCTCAGACTGTTTCAGTGTGCCAGAGGTGGACCAGGGATACATTGACAGAGACTTGATGCTACGTCCGTAGACGTATTGGGCAGCATGCTGAGTCTTGCAACTGCCTGGAAGGTAGGCTAAGACGCAGAAAGCTGTCGTGAATTCCGAACCAGCAGTGACAGTGAGGCCGAGGCTGAGCATGGCGAGGGCAAAGCTCTTTTGTCGTGCATGGCCGCAAAGCGACAGTAGCTCAAGGCCGCGAGTCGGCTACGAGACGTGCATGGCTTTAAAGTTGCTGCTTGTCATTGCGACCTGGGCGTCTGTAGGGGTTGCTTTTTGCGCGTGCCGCGTCCTCGGAACTTGGCCACTACTTGCTACTCGTTTCCGGAGTCAAGCCCTCTTTCAGGGCTTTCACCTGAGCTTCTTCGCGGCTGGTCAGCCCCTGATACTGACACTGCTAGCTGCTAGATCCTGGGGGCATGGCGACATCAATCACAGTATCCCCGTCTCCATGGTCCTCACTACCAGATGGCCACCCATGCACAGGGAATGCGGAAAATACCCGACAAACGGTCCCGGATGTAGTACCGGTTGCCGTATGTGTTCTGGACTTGCCTTGAGCACTGCACCAGAAGCTTTGCTGCAAGGCAACGGCAGAAAGGCCTCCAGTAGGTCAGAGGCTTCCTGCCAAACACATGCCGTTTGAGGGTGGCTGCGAGCCGCCCTAACCACAGACAGCCACTTTCTGAGGCATGTCCATCAAAGCGCTGAGCCCTTGGCATCTTCTCCACCTCTGATCCGGCATTGAAATTCACCACGTAGCCGTCGCCCAAACCACCCGTGTCGTGAACGTAAATGACCTGAGTAGCTGAGCTGCCGACCCACTCCACCCGGGATCACCCGGACGCAGGGGGTGTCCGAGAACGCTGCTGTGCGGCCGTCCGGCTTCCAGTAGTCTCTGATGGCCAGGCCTGAAAGAGGTTGAGGGGTCTCTTGCTGCTTGCCCCCCCGGCAAGGGCTGTCCTGGGGTGTTGGGGAAGGTCTGAGTCAGCACGCGCACTCGGACCTGGAAAATTGCTGCATCGCGTCCATCGGGCTTCGAGCGAGGTTGGAAGCTCTCCAGCCTTCGCCGCAGTCTCGATCTCTGCGATGTACCCGGCCAGCTCTCGCTCTTGACTGTTGGTCAAGATCCTGGCTGAAACGTCGGCGTACAGCTTGAAAGTTCAGGATCTTACGGGCAAGTTAAGGGACTCCTGGCTATATCGATGACTGGCGTGGTCGCTGCATCGGTCTTTGGCAGCAGCTCTGGTCGATTGACACCTGTCCAGTAAGCTAGAATCTCCGCCACCCCAACCGGTTCTTCTGCATGTGGCACCAGACCTTCTGGCCGCTTCGCTTCGGCGGCAGGCGCCTCGCAGTGTGCAAGGCCAGGCATGAAGTAATGAAGTAATGTCCACTCGAATGTTCTTTAGAAACCTCACCTCACACGACAGGTCAGAAGTCTCAGGATGAAAAACTCGCTGTATACTAACACGCCAGCAACTGATATATTCAATATCAAAACTGTACACGTTTCGGAACATGTATCGTTGAAGATAGCCTTATTCCAAGTCAAGCTGCTTGGCTCGGGAAAAACATATGTATGTGTAGGCATATGTCTGTATGTATGCATGCATGCCTGGATGTACGTATGTATGTATGTATGTACAGTTATGTATAACTGTATATGTATATGTCTATGTAAACCTAGATGTACATGTATTGTATATGTATATGAATATGTACGTGTATTGTAGATGTATATGCATGTGCATATGTATATGGATATGCAAATGTATATGTATATGTACATCTATATGCATATGTACATGTGTATGTATGTACATATGTATATATTATATGTGCAGATTTGTATATGTGCATATGTGTGTATGCGGAGATGTGTCTATGTGTATATGTATTTATGTGTACATGTGTACATGTCTATATGTGTATATGGGCGTCTGTGTGTCTGTGTGTATGTGCGTCTGTGTGTCGGTGTGTCCGTGTGTATGAATGCAAGCGCATCTGTGCGGACGTGTGGATGTGTGTGGATGTGTCTGTGTGTGTATGTGTGAATGTGCGCACGTGTATGGACGCATGCGCATGGGCATGTGTGTGTGTTTGTCTCTGTTTATGTGCATGCATTTTCATATGCATTTGACTATACATGAGGAAGCGAGAGAAAGAGCGAGCGAGAGAGAGAGAGAGAGAGAGAGAGAGAAATACACCGGGCCCAATGCAAGAACGATCACAAAACAATGCATACTCTTATACACATATATACATATTAATGTGCATACATATATATATATATATACACATATACATAAATATATGCTTATACTTTTATCTGTCGAAGTCCTGCTACAGAGGTTCGGCGTGTGGAGGCTGCAGCTGGCACTGGATTTGAGGCACCGCTTCTTGCGCCGCCAAGGCGTGCCGCTTCTGACGATTCAGCTTCGGAAAAGTAGCACCCCAGGAGCTCGATCAGAACTAGGTTGCTTGACTCCAGGAGATGAGGGTCTCTATGGGGCAATCGTACCAATTCTGCATCCGTGTCCATGGTCTGGCTGCTGACTTCCGAAGAGTTGGCCTCTTCGCAAGAGATATCAGAAGTAAAGTCAGCACAGTTCGCTCAACTTGAGCGCGGCAAGGCTAAAAGGCGACACATATGTTTCGGGGAGTTCCCTGGGCCGCCTTTTGGTGTAGGTCGAAACGCGTGTTTGTCACGACGATGCTGATGATAATGGTGATGATGATGGTGACCATGGTATTGATGCTCCCCTTTGTGCCTCCAGCAGGCAGGGGCATGCACGCACGAGCAGCGGCACAATCAAGAATGTCCTCAGCAGCAGCAGCAGCAGCAGCTTCGTCGATGTCCGCATCATCGCCAATATTATTCTTATCTGCACGAAGCGGCGGGCGGCCGTGGTGGGGTAGTGCTGAAAATGATAACCCGCGCCAGTCACGAGGATGGCGATGCGGACGAGCACCATCCCACTGACTGCTTGCATCACTGTGACCGTTGCATTGTTGACAGGCAAGGGTTGGGAAGGCCATTGACACGGCGCATCGGAATAGCATACATATACATATACATATACATATACATATACATATACATATACGTATACGTATACGTATACGTATACGTATACGTACATGTACACATATACATATACATATACGTACACATACACATACACATAGACATAGACACATACATATGTATGTGTATACATGGGCAGACATATATAACATATATATATATGTGTATGTATAAAGTATATGTGTAGACATGCATACATACATATTATTACATATTTATGCTTTTCAATTCTTTACATATATACGCACACGGATAGTTTGACAGAATACACAGCTTGGAGTGTTTAGAACGTTTAGGGAGTTTACAGGACATCAGTCCGCCTGCGCGAGCACCAGCAGTCCCAGCAGGCCCCGCCGCGCGGGACTGCAGCGAGGCAGGAGAACAAAGACAGTCATGGGTAGTTATAAGCACTAAATATATTGTGGAAAAATATTTTTCCCCCTTAAATATATTGGGGTTATAAGTCCCCTAATGTGGGTCATAATTGTAGAGAGTTCCTGCCTCGCTCTCTCGACGGCGACAAAGGCGGGCGCCTGGACATCCAGCTCAGGTTTGATTCAGGCATGAGACTGAAGCCACGGAACGCATGCCACTATGAAACCCTGTGGCACCTCTAGGAGCCCAGCACAAACGGCAAGCAGCATCAGCAGCCCTGCACCTGCACAGGCAGCATGCTCCACCATAGCGGTAAGCTAGATGTCTCTGCCTCGATTACGAAGCGAAGGCCGGACTCTTCCTTCACCAAGAGACTCCAAGCCACTGGACGTGAAGATCGGACTCTTCAGATGATCAACACTCCAAGCCGAGGCTGGTACCCATGTGTCTGTCCATGCTCACCCAGGCCATGGCAGAACCGTCACTTAAACAGCAGATGAAACTCCTAGCATGACGATCCTTGTAGCGCGGCAGTTAATGAACTTTCCCTATCGGGCTCATGAGCCTCTCGAAACTTTTGAGAAGCTCTCATGGCATCGCAGTGGAGCTGCCAGGGTCAAGTGCACAAGACTCAAACAGCACGAGTGGCCGAACCAGGTGTCCAGGCTTTCGCGCGCTCGCTCGACCCTACTCTGGAAACTATCACGGAAGGCAATCCTGGGGGTGAGACAAGAGCGAACATGTTGGAAATGCTAGATTTGGCGTCGTGCTCAAGCTCTCTTCTCTCTTCTCTGCCATCTCGAAAAGGGCACAGGTGCCTCCAAGGGCTGCATCTCGGATTTCTCAGTTCGCTCACCAAGGCTTCAAATGTGTGGCAAATGAGGGGAGCAGTCCACTAGTGGAGTTCCCGAAAAGCCAGGACGTTGCATCCTCACTTGTTGAGGAGCTCGGTTTTCTTTTTCTCTTTGGCCTTCCAAGGCCCGACACGGATGGCAGCAAAGAAACAGCACTCTTCCAGCGAATGGCTTCTAGATAAACGAACGACCATGTAAGTCAGACCAGACTGGTCCTACAGCTCGAAGGCTGCCTAGTACCGGTGCCCGCCTTGTATTTATGTTTGCAACACTTGAAGTCGCCAGGAACCGAAGTCAGAGTGCAATCTGCCGCCTCGAGAAGCTTGCGCCTCTCGTTCCGTGCCTCCAGCGCCTGCCACATGGAGTCTGAGGAGTCAACATCCCTCCCTTGGTGACTCGTAATTACCTCTAGCCTTCCAGACTGCAGGATTCGATGGTTCAGCTGGTTCGAAGTGTATCTATGTGGGCGTCTCTTGCCAAAACTGTGTGGGCTTCTCTGAGGCGGCACATGTGCTCCAGCATGCTACGCAGCAGACCTGTGATAACCGCGGAGAATCTCTCTTGAAGGGACGCCTTCTTTGATATCTTCTGACAACCCTGCAGCAAAGTTCGCTCCACCCATGTGCTGAGCCTTCTCGTAGTCTTCTTCCAAGGTTGCTTTTCTGAAGCCCTCTCCCAGGATCTGCATGTTTTCCGAGAACTCCTCGCGGGCGTTCACCAAAGTCGTGGTCACTCGAGGACCCCAATCGGCGCGCTGTCCTCCGTGCCCAGAGCGCTGCCCTCCTTGTCAGGGTCCCAGCTGGCGGACATCATGCCGTAGGCACCACCTCATCGGAGGCAGCGAAGCGGGTAAAAACAATAGCCCAATGCAACCCAAGACCCAAGTCTCTGCATGAAGAAAGGCCCAGGCCGAAGATGGCAAGAGCCAGGAGCGCCAGAGTCACGAATGCCATGAGAGTTGGCGGTATGATGATTTCCTCGTTTTGTCCGCTTCTGGGTGGCTTGAGGAGAGGCTTAGCATAGTCTGCAAAGGCCTGAGTCTTGAAAAGGACGATTCCAAATCCAAACACCGCGAGCATGGTGGCATAGAAGGAGCCTCCGATGACCATTCCTGGTACAAGGTCAAGCCAGTGCCGCAGTGTAGCTAAAGGCTTACGACCACTTCGGAGACACGATAGCTATGGACGAACTTCAAAGGTTTCGCCCCAACTGGCTGGCACGGCGGGCCATGCCTCGCTTCGCTACACGCTCTGCGACTGGTGGTGGCATCACGGCGACCTCGCGGCCGTACCTGAGCCGTTTCAGATGCATTCCAGGAGCCAAACCCTGGTTTTTCCGGGACCGGCACTTTGCGATCATAGCTTTCCCCATCTCGTATTCATCGAGCTCTTCCTGTCACATCGCGTGCCAGTCAACAAGGCCAGTCGGAGGCAAGTCGTTTCCTCTCCTCTTAACGGATTTCAAACTGGCCATGACCCTGACTACCCATGAGGAGCTTGCCTCGCGCTTCTGTCGTAGGGCCAGAGTCTTGTCTCGAAGGTCACTGAGGCGCTGCTTCCTGCGACTACTTCGCTGTGAGTCAGACCGGGAGCGGTGCAAGGTGTCTCGCTCGCGACGCATCAGGATTTCGCTTCTCACACGACGTAGTGGGCCCAGCCAGAGGATGGTAAAACGAGGTGATGCGTTCATCTGAATAACTTGCAGCGCGATCCAACGCTTCATCTTCGCGGTTTCATATTCAGGCATCTCGCTCAAAGTGCAAAGGCCATGATATTCGTGTTGGAGCCGGAGTCGTGCACGACGGGTTCATTCACACACTGGACCATTCAGACGACGGGAGATCCTCGAACGCATGCCACAAGATTCTCGCCCACGGGATTCGCGCGTGCGAGCGCGGCTTCAGGAGTCCTATTGATAAGTTTCCTAGACCCACAAAGCCTAAGCCTTTCGCATCTTCAGGTTTGAAGGACTCGCCCACCTAAACCCGAAAAAGACGCTCACCCTAACCCCAAGCCTCAAAACCCTTAACCCTGGATGCCTTGAGCACTGAAAACCACACCCGAAGCAATCTTCAACCCCTTAAACCCTGCAAACCCAGGTTTAAGCCCTCCACAGCCCAATACACGAAAGCCTTCAACCTCTAAACCGCAAACCTACGGAACCCGACACCCCAAATACCCGAAAACTTCGTTAATCGCGTGAGTTCGAATCTCACCTGCTGCAGTCGCACGTGACTTAATCGCGCACGATTGAATCGCCGGCGCTTAAATCCAGGTGGGAGGTGAAGTTTGAGTCGCGCGAAACGCAGTGCGGTACGCGCTCGAATCGCGACGTTGATCTGATACTACTTGCCGATATTGAACCTCGATGGAGCATGAACTGCCAAATTGATGGAGCAACCAACATCTTGTGAGCCAATGGAAAATTAAGGCTTCAACTTTTTGAAGCAGGGAGTGTCGCTCCCGCTGGCCTTCAACATAACCTGCTCAGAGCTCATCGACAGCTGAGCGTTTGGCCTTCCCACTTTTGCCCGATCGTAATGCAAACATGTAACAATGCCCCTTATCCACAAATCTGGCTTGTCCTCACTTCAGACAATCGGCATTGCCGCGATCGCAAGATTTCGAAAACGAGCATGCGAGGAAGCATTGGCCGAACGGTGCCCTCTCCGAAGTGTGAGGAAGCATGTAGCCCCTCGCAGCAGTTCGCGAACGCCTGCAAAGGAAGCATACACGACAAAATCGAAAACAAGCGTGGAGAGGAAATCCGCAACGGCACATTCAGCTCTCGGCCTCCCTTGCGTGGCTTGCATATATGCTTGGATATGATTCGCAGATGAAGCCGAAGCCACATCAAGTTGCATGACTGGTGTTTTCGCTGTAAGTGATAAACGCATGGTTGACTGGGAGTCTCGACGTCGTGTTCGTGACAGAAGCGCTTGTACACTGCACAGACGACTGGATCTGAGGTCTTGGCGTCAGCGCCTTCGTCTTTGAAGACTTCTTGTTCTGGGCATGTTCACAGAGAGTCGGGTTCTCTGATCCAGCCAAAAGCTCACGATCACCACGCTGAAACATGCTCAAGGCTCTCTTCTGGACACTGGACACGTGAAGAGGCTTCCACGCAAGTGAACTCTACCTCTTGCCGCAAGCAGGCCTTCATGATGCTAGCCTTCTTGCCGCTACCAGCCTTCAGGAGCCAGGGACGTGCGTGCAGCAAGGCCGCAGCATTGATTTAAGGAACATGTCATGCAGGCAAGCTTCTATCCAGACCGAAACTGAGAGTACACACTGCAAACTCCAAACAACGACAGAGCACCTAGCAGCCGAAGCCCTACATACTACCCCCGAACCACGCCATGACAACCCAAGACACGGACCGCACGGTGGCGGGCTGCGGCACAAACAAGAATCGCAAGGATCGGGAGGCGAACATGTACAGTGCCGACCACGTACACCGCAAAACCGCACGGCACTCTGCGGGAGCACAACTTCAATTATCGTGAATTGCTGAAACCCTACGGAGATTTCGAGAGGAGTGCGGCCCTGCTGGGACTTTAGAAGGCTCTAAGGCTAGGACTTCCGGCGATTTCGGGACTGTGCTGGGGTTCGACCACGCGCAAGTGTTGTAATCCACCATGACGGAGCCCGCACGGGACTGTGGAAGGAACGTGACTTTAGTCCACAAAGTGCGCTGTGACTCGGCGGGCATCTCGGTCACACTAAGCTTGTTACTGCACTGCTGGGATGTACCCGATCGCAGGCCTCCTTCGCTTTCTTGTCCGGAGCTGCCTTCGACAGGGCTCGCACCAAGGGGCCAGACATGTGCAGGAGGGCGGTCAAGGGAGCCAGTCTTGAGGAGTTTGCTGACACAAGTCATCGAAGAGCCACAGTGAGACGAGCACTGCCCAACACGATGTCTGACAAACACGGAGAGCCGCAAGGCTGCAACTACGTGTTCAGCTGTACGGCAGCGAAGACTTGCTTGAATATTCAAGCCTCTGTCGAGCAAGTATGTATCAGCTTCTGCCCCTGTGCCATCATGTAGGTGCCTGTGTCACTCCGAAGAATGCAGATCGTGTTGTTTTAGCGGTCCGGCTCGGAGCCAGCGAGCTTGTGAAGAGCTGCTTCTCATCAGCTTTGCTTAGGCAACTCCGGAAGACATCTTGCCTCGCTGTCGCCAAAGCCCTGCAGAAGAGAAACGCTATGATCTGTCGCGGCGGAAACAGAAACAGCATCTCGCCTTCGATGCAGCGTACCTCGGCTGTGCATGTTGCTCAGCCAAGCATCATGTCGGGATCGCATCGAACCTCGGGCCTCTGTGTCGGAAGTGTCCTCGACAGCGGTGCGACCTCGAAGCCACAAAGCAGAGACACTCGGCAACAGACCTCTGAGAGCTGGAGGCTGGAGGCTCCCTCCAGGCGCCAGGCTCCTGTGAAGCTGGGCGCGGCCTTCCGCCCATAGCAGCAAAGCGCTTTTTTCCACCGTTTGCCTTTGAGCCCGGCCTGGAGGGCCAGGCAGAGGCCCCCGGAAGCCATCAGGAGCCGGCGGAGCCACCTGCAAAAACAAAAAGTGGGTCATCTCGCCGCGGCCCAAGCCCAAGCATGTCCAAGGCCTCCCGGGTCTGCGTGCATTGCCTCGCACAGACATGGCCTTGCGAGCTCCCACAGAAACAACGATTGACCGTAAGGCTACCCTGCATGTAGCAACAACGTTGGCAGTGGAAGTTCAACTGCGACACGTTCTCCAAACCGCCACTGCTGCTGCTGCTGCTGCTCCAAAACGCAACAGTGCCGGAAGGCGCATGAAAGCCAGAAAAAACACATGATTGTTCAATGCAACATCTCTGCCCTTAAAGTGGGATGTGTATGGATGTACGGCGCGTTCAGACTGCGAACACAACAAAAGTCACACTCGCGTGCATCTGCAGAGCTCTACCCGGGTTAGACTAAACTCTGGGCATGTGGTCCTCAGGCTATCTCAGACTCCCAGACGATGAGGAGTTGGCACGTTTCACAGTTAAGCCAGGATACTAGGGTCTGTATAAACCTGGCAGGAGCCGAACCCGTGAGCCGAATCTCGGCTTGAAGTCTGAGATTACTGAAGCTACCAGGCTACCAGCACTTCTTCTTTCAGTTGCAATGCAACTGGTTCGCTGCGGACGGTATCTGAGTCGACGGCCGAGGCTACCAAGCACGGTCCCACGAATACTTGTGCTGTGGCTGAGAATTGGAAATCAAGTCCAAGGGCGGTCGAAGGATGCAACTGCCAAAAGGCTGGCTAACATTCAGGCAACTCGAGCTCAAGCAGGAAATCAAGGCATACAAACCTTTTGTTTCCAACGCGCTCTCTTTCTGACAGGTTCATTAGGATCATTAGGTTGCCCGTCCGGGCCGCATAAAATTTGCGTGGGGTGTCTCTTCGAGGCCATCCGAGATCAGCTTCGCTTGTAATGCACAAGGAAGGTGTCACGCTGCATCATAAGACTAGCGCTCGCTGTAATGCGACCTCGCGATGGCAGACACAACGTCGTGCACAGGTGCCATGCCACACGGTCCTCTTCAGACCGACACAGCCTAGAGAGCCAGAGAGCCAGAGCCGATGTGCTTAGTACATGTGGCAAATTGCAGTGCCAGCTGTCGCTCGTCTCGGTCTGCAGTGGACCGTCGCACCGTTTTGGCACTAGGCTTCTCAGAGCAAGCAAGACTCTGATGCCTCGAATCTGTTACTTCCTATTGGAAAAAGAACCGATGATCAGGACAGCGATTTCGCGATTGAAACGTCGCCCTAGCAATCCTCAGAATTAAACAGCTGAACCTCCTATGCGGCAAGCATCATGCTGAAAAACCATTGCCTGCCATTGCTTGACTATCGAGGCACTAGCAAGCCCTTGCCGACCCCATCACATGTGAAGCTTACATGCTCTGAAGAAGGTCCATCCTACTGAAACACTACTGGTCCAGAGCTGCCACTTTGCATGATGCAGGGGACCTGCAAAGAAGCCTTGGTACCACTAGCCAGTATTACATTCGGTACTAATCAGTGGCACACTGGAGACTCTCTGCGGCGAGGAGGAAAGGATGCCAGCAGCCAATCCGTGTTTGATCTGCTGAATCGAAAGCCGTCCATCTTGCATCCGCTTTGGCCTCAACTCGCCCTCCTCTGCTTGCTTTGGCAGATGTTCTACTCCAGCGAAACAACTGGGTGATCGGTTGCGGCGTGCCTGTGGGGACTGACACAGTCACGGAGTCCAACCTGCCCTTATGCGATTCTTTCAGGGTCAGTCCCAGGCTTCCGAATTCCATGTCAATTGGACCGCGCTGCCAGAGCTGTACTGCCCTGTGAGGCATGCAGCCTTCCACGTAAATGCATGGAATGTGAAACTGAGCACCTCTGCTCTGGACTGGTTCGAAGATGTTACTCAACCCGCTGCTGCTGGTATCACTAGCAGCAACCAACAGAGCAAGCCAAAGTAGCCAGATGCGAAATCTTGGACCCAAGACAGAGTAACTAGAACCAACATCTTCGATCGTGAGAAGAAAGCTTTCAAAGTCTGTCAGAGTCATCCTGAGAACCTGCATGGCAAACTCGGACTGTTCGGACAGCTGTTGGTGTGTTTCCCTGTCCCAGCTCGATCTTTTGGTGGAGCTAGTGCAATCACTTGCAACGCACGGGTGTTGGCCAAAACGTGAGCCAGCAAACTCGTGCCGCTGATTTCTTTTTGCATGCTTCTTGCTGCTACCTGCTCTGACTCAATGATGGGTCATCCAGCGCTGTTTTTGCGCAATGACGCTTGTCAAAAGTGAGGATGGGACTGAGCATTCCACGGACCCTCACGCGCACTGCCAGCATGTAGCAGAACTTTGCACCACGAGGTGGTCCAGCGGGATAAATTCAGGCAGCTCTCTTGGTGTCTCACTAGCTCCGAGATCAAGCTTCTTGTCATAAGCGTCCCTGCAGCTCACCAGGGCGACATACAGCGCTTGGATAAGGATGATTAGGACCTCAGTCCATGTTAAAAGCATGCAGTCTGTCGGGTTGCCGCTGTAAGGTTCTCAACCCTGACCCTATCTGCCTTGTTTCGAGTTTGCTGGTCCGCAGTCTGCGGAAATAGAAGGGGACCTCAGGCCGGGGAGCTAGTTCTGAGACTTGTCAATCCTTCGCCTTCTGAGACAGAACCTACCTGAATAGGTTGACAGGATATACTGAACATATCTGAACATGCAACGTGTGCCCAAAACAATCGACATCTTCCCTAAGATATCCTGCTTGACGAAGCAGGAAGCTGTCGGCGCGATGCAAGCCAAGCAGCTGAAGCCAGCCCAAATCCTAATCGTGCTGTAGCGAAAGGGTGATGCCAGTCAAAGGTTGCATAGATCGGACATTCATCATCCGGATACAGCTCCACGCACGGTGCCGCCTCATCCTCTGGACAGCTCCAACAGCCTCCAGGCATGCCAATGCGCAAGGCATAATGGACGAAAGTCCATCCGACATAGATGATCTGGTACAGGAACAACCACCCGACTCGCGCACAAGAGAAGGGAACACGTGTCAAGAGAAGGTTTACGAGCAGAAGGCCTGCGTTTATACCATGTAGGAACACATCCATGTAAGGTAGCTCGCCTCCGGGATAGATCAGGACCCAGTAAAGCACCGCCACCGTCATCGACAAAGGCTGTGACAAGGAGTTCAGCACCATGGAGATGCGGACTAGCCAAGGCTCGGCAGGCGCGACCATATGGTTCTGCACGTATTGAAAGCCCAACATGGCCACCACCCACTGCAGGATCAGGTCAACTGCTTCGATCCAGCTCGCCTGCACTGTCAAGAATATGAAGTGGTATGGTCCTGGAAGGGTCACACACGTTCAAGTACTACTACACCCGATTTGCAAACACGAATTGGATACTAGCTGGCTGCGACCACCCGCTCCGTCGTCTCTGCCGCGCACCCACCAGTTCCAGAGAACGTGTGCAGTAAAGATGGCAGCCCAAAGCGCGCGGAAGGACACGGTCAACAGGGGCCTTGTCCATGGCGATGTGGCGAAGGCTTGCGGCCACTGCTGCGAGTTCCACTCCGGGCAGACGGAGCTGGATAGGCCCATGTCTCGAGCTTTGCGGGAAAGGGCTTAAATTGAGAGCTTGGAAACAGCGAAAAAAAATGTGCACAGGAGAGCTCCGTGAGGGGCCAAAGCACTCGTCCTAGCATGTCGCAGCCTTAGAGCCCTCCCTGTGATCTCGATTGGACGTTTGCCTCAGAAGGGGGGTCGACTTCCGGTGCAAAGAAAAGTGTCACAGAAATTCTGCTCGCAGGCTCTGAGGGGATGGCTTTCGCAGCCGCCTTTCGGACCCTGCACAGAGGAGGACTCTTTTCTGAGGGATGCTCCTAGGCACCCCCCCTAAGAGGAGGGTCAAAAAGAGCCGGCTAGGCTTCGGTGGGCCTAGGGAGCGGTTTCCGAACCCAGAGGACTCTCTGAAGGAGGCTGATGAGGAAGCTTGCAAGGAAGAGAAAACCAAGAGCGGGGGCCTTTCCATCGTCGCTTCCCCGTCCGGGATACCAATGAGGCAGCTTGCTGGCAGTTTGGACGGCCTTCCATCGCAGATTCGGAAAGTGGTGACTCTCGTTTGCATATCCTTGAACCCTTCAAACATTAACAATACTGTTGTGATAAGCAAACATGGGCTTCATGCCCTGCCTTACCGTGGTGATTTCTGAACTTTAGTAGTTGGCAGAAGTTGGGCTTCTCACACTAGCCAGTCGTCTTTCGTTTGCGCACCCTCGATTTCTGCAGGTTGCTTGCTCATGCCTCCTCCGTGTGGGCTGATGGCACGGGCCCCCTGCATCCTCAGCTCGTCGGAATGAGAAACTGCGAAAATCAACGCGCATGCCAAAAGTTCTAAAATCACTCTCTAGCTATGATTAGCTGCCTCATACCCTTCCATGCCAGTCAACGCCAGGGAACCATCCAGGAAGCCAGGCTAGGGCCAGTCCCACTTTGGGCATTGGATGTGGGCCTGGCTGCGTTCACACTGAGCAGATTCGGGGCTGGGGCTCAAGGGCTCGCACGGGTTCGGGCGCTGGGCTCGTTCCCAGGTCCGCGGACCTGGGCGAAAGCGAGAGGCAGGGAGAACGGTCAGCCGTTTTTCCAGCTTTGCTACCGTGGCACTTTGTCTCTGCTTCTGCTGCAGCTCCCGAAAATCAGCCAGCCAGGCCTCGACCGACATTGTCTGTAAGCTTCTGTGTCGCAGCAACACCGCCTGCCTCCCAGTCTTCGTCAGCGATGCTTGGGTGGTCCTTCCAGGGATCCTCGTAGGGTGGAGGCCTCCATAGCAGAGCTCCCGACACAAGCATAATAAATTGGTTGCGGTGGTGTGCTCGGGTCCTGCCTCCATGCAGCACACCGCATCAACGGTTTCGTCTGAGGAGCATCATCCTCGCAGACACCCGGGAAGCCATCGATTCGACAGTTCCAGCTGTTGCAAGCTGACGTGCAGCCTCCTCACTATTGCCAATGTCGACCAAAGCAGGGCTCGTTGAGCCCGAAATTGTTGAGGCTGTCGAAAGCCTCAGCCGACCGCCCCGCCCATGGCAGAGGGGACTGCTAGGACCAAAGCTTTTTGCCAATCTTGGAGCACCCTCTTGTCAGAGGCTGCGGCGCAGATTTGCAGGAGAGACTCGCCACGCTGAGCAAACCTCGGGCGTCGCATAGCCCTCGAGTCCCGTCCGGACATGACCTTTGAATTTAAGCTGAGGCACCGATGCTACCGGCTTTGCTCACTGCCGAAGACGGCAGTGGACAAGGCCTCTTCTAGCGAGAAATTGCCGCCAGTGCCCCGGCTCCAATACAAGTAGCAAGGCAAGACTGAAACATAGCCAGACGCACGTAGAATGCACGGCACGATGCCACTGCGGCACTGTTGAGTCTGTGCCTGTGTTTCACTGAAACATCCTTTCCTGCATCTTGTGGATATCTGGCATGTATTAAGTCCGAGGATGCATCGCCGGAGTCAACTTGGTTGGTCTAGCCCTTCCTGTTCTTGGTTCGCACGGATGCAATCGGAGAAGCACCACCCGAGTAATCAGAAATCAGCGCACGTGAGTGATGAACTGACACTTTGCTCGCTGGAAAATGTTGATGTATTGGTGATGTGTCCCAAGCTGCTGCAAGGGAGTCTGCGAGTGGCATATCTCACTTTTCTCACGTTTGGGGCACACGTTCTGGTTAGACACAGCCCTTTGGCAGTAAAGGTTTGTCAGGGACGGTGGTCTGTGTCGATGTGCCACCACCTTCTAGTTTTTGGAAAGTCGTAGACCCGTGGAACATCCCCCTCATCGGGCACAAGACTGACTGCTTTGCCTCGAGTCCGGAGGAGCAGCGCGAGACGCACTGGGTCGCCTGCCAGACACAGACAGGTACAGTCGGTCTCATTTGCACCAGCGCGAGTGGCTCGGGTAGGGTGTCGTGAGACCCAGCAGCCCTCGTACTGAAATGAAGACAAATGCCTCATTTGCGACCAAACTGGTTTCCGGACTGCTGCAGAGGGTAGTGGAAGATATGCTCTGGAGCAATGTCCCATAGGACCAATTGCCAATTGCGATGGACCAGGCAAACTGACGGGAAGTTCAGAGCCCAAGGCCAAAGCTCAGCAGGCCATCGCAAATCACAGGATCCAGGCACAGGAAGACTTGCACCATCGCCGAAAGTTTCCTGGGTAATCCAGCCCCTAAGGCCTTCGGTAGTCCCAGCTACCGCCAAAGGCGGAGGCCTACAGCATGACCATGCATGACCCATCAAATCTTCGCAACATCATCACAATCTGCAGGTCATACAGATCTGTTCTGACAGGCCATCAACCTGTGACTCTGCATGTTACATGCGAGGAAATCCAAGCCATGCCCGTAGCTTGTCTGGTTCCATACGATCCCACATCTTCTACATGAAGACATGCAACCACCAAGTGCTCACAAGGTGGAACAGAGTTTCTTGTTAGTGTTTAGCTCAGGTGTGACTTTCTGTTTGTTTCGCGCGGAAGGATGAACACGGGCAGTAGAACCTGGCCGTTCCGAATACCTGCGTAGATCTTAGGTTAAGCTGCTTTGTTTTGTTTCTCAGAAGTCGACAACCCTGTGGCAATGGATGAATCGCGAGATGGACAGATCGAAACGTTCTCTAGCCCGCTTGTTATCGTTGAAGCAATGAACCCAACAACAAATCACACAAGCTCACCCCTGATTGCCACACCTGCGCGAGTCCACGGATTCGATCACTCCGATCACTCTGGGCGGTGGGGTGCCACTGCGGGGAAACATCTGCACCTGAGCAGCATGGTCAGACACACCTTCCCACTGAAACCTTTGCACCTGCCGAAGCCAGGCGATGTTAACTGGAGTGCCCCACTTACCGTTTACTGCAATCTCTGCACAAATCATGCGACGCAGAGATGCCGAGCCCCCGGCTGGTTGGAACCCCTGCAACCGCGCCACATCCTGTGACAAAGCACGACGATCAGAGCACCTCCAAGCGCGAGTCAAACCGAGAAGAAGGAAGGGTCAGTGGTTTGCACCAGCATTACCAGTCCATGAATGGGGCATTTGTCGCAAGTCGGCACAGACTGAAGCAAGACAAAATCGAAACAGGAGACGCAGGCTGGCATGTTCCAGCTCATGCTGCGCGATGAGCAGCGAAGACACACGCTCCACAGACTCGACAGTACCTACCGTGGTGTCGCCGATGCCTCGCGGGCGGTAGTGAAAGAGCACAGACCTCAAAATGAAATCGGAAGCGGCATTTCAGGAAGCAGCTCTTCTACTTAGTCTTGTCGAGGGGCGGCTGAACACAGCTTCATGTCGGTGAGCATGTGCTTAGCCTTGTCGCGACAGGCTGACGGAACTTCGTCCATGCACTTGTGCTTGCATCCATCTTTATTTACAGTGAAAGGATGCCACGCTACTTCGCTACGTTCGTGTCACGCGGCTTCGCCCTTCTCCGCAGACAGCTTGCATGTGCTGCCCCCTCCTGCTGTCCTCCTGCCGCCCCTTGCTCTCCAACAGCATGTCATGGTACAATCTTGGATGGTCGGTACGGTTCCTATGTAATATATAGAATAGTCATGCCAAGACTTGCGAAAATCATGTGCACAAACATGTTGAATGCAACTTCCAGGTAATACTCACGGTGCGGAACCCTACATCCTAAGCCGTCGTGTGCAGGAGCTTCCGGTCTGGCTCAAGCGGAAGTTGAAGAGGTAGCTGAGGTGATGTCCCAGATGGTCAGCGCACTGCTCCATGGAAGCTCAGGCCCCTCTGGATTTGGAGTTCACCAACTCGCAAGCCCTTACCAGCATGAGTATGGCTTGCGGCGTGAAGCTTGAAATGCTGAGTCGTGATTCGCAGACTGGAGCTTGGGGGGCAGGAGGCAAGGGCCGTGTAAGAAGCCGTCTGAGCAAAAGGATCCACCACAGACGACACACCCTCGGTCATGGCCACGGACAGGGATGCACCAACTGCGCCAGTCTTCAACGCAGTGTTCTCCCATGCAAGCATCATTTGGCCTTCCGGCGAATTAGGCTACAGGGTCCTGACTGCAAGCTCGTCACGATGATCCCTGCCCCTCACCTGGTGTAACAAATCAAACTCGGGTCTGGGAGCAGCAGGGAAAGCTTCCGAGCTGGAGCTCACAGAGACCCTGAGATGCAGATGGAAAGCGATGGAGGATTTGCCCAGCGAAGCACGATGCCTAGCAGTATGTGTCTTAGGAAGCTTCCAGTCTCTCCATCCTTCAACATCACCCACACACCCTCAGCCCAGCAAGCCGAAACGTTGCCGCTTCGGAGTGTCCGGCCAGGGCCTGGGCAGTGTAAGACACAAAGCACTGCCGTATCCGATGTATCCTGAGGCTGCTTGGATGGAGCACGCGCACAGGCACTCGGGCTCGAGCCCCTCGTCCTCTTCCTTCAGGTGCAGCAGCATCATGCTCTTCGATGTGACACTCCTAGTCAGCGAAGAGCCTCCCAATCCTCAAGGAAGCCACGCCGCTTCGTCTGGGAGACCTGAACATGTGTGTCAGCACCATCGGCAACCGAGAACTGTAACCTGCCTGCTGGTTGAAGTCAACGAAATAATCTCGGTTCTCCTGGCAGTTGATAAATCTCGAGGCCTCTAATGCTGTAGCGTGCGGCGCACGGGAACTAGTTCGTTGTTTGAGCGACATACGATATGAATCAGTCAGTGGCTTTAAGCTGCCAGCTACGCCTTGCCAGTGAGTTTGTTGACCTGGCGCAACGGCAAAAACCAGAGGTGCTGCCCTCTGCCTCTGTGGGATCGTGCTTTTCCTGCCTTCCTGGCGACCACCGCCAGCTCGGCAGCCATCGCCGGTAGCCCCACGTGGCCTGCCCGGGGGAGGCTTTCACTGGCCCAGCAATTTGCAGCGTGGCTTCCGCTTCGCCTGCGTCCTCCACGGCTTCAATGAGGCCCAGCCTATGCGAATGTGTGTGGCAGTTCCGTCGTGCGGCTCGAGCCGCAGAAGGGCCAGCAGGGGCCCGGGCTGTTTCGCAAGCGCGGTGCCCTCCTTCTTCAGAGCGGCCCTGGGCTGCTACGCTGCTGGGCAGGGCGAGGCTGAGACAACCCGAGCAGGCGCTCTGAGCTGAGATCCGGACGCTCTTCGAATCGACTGCACCAGCCGAGCTTCCATTTCAGCGATCTCCTGCTAAAGCAAAGCATCGATGCCATTATCTTCAAAAATGAGAGAAGCTGCCACGGTAAATGCCAGAGTGTGCCAGAAACTGCGCGGGGTCGCCTCGTCCAGGCGGGCAGACGCACCTGAATTGGTGGTCTTCCGCACCTGTCCTGTCGGCTCCTCGGCTGGCAAGTTCTGCGATCTTTGCCAGCAGAGCGAGAGAGAGAGAGATACCACCGACTGACAGACGGACAGACGCACAGACTGACGGCCCGCGGTGGGGCAGGGTGCAGGAGAAGAAAGAGAAGCAAAGGCAAGACAATAAGAGAACCCCGTGAGCTGGGCTGCCTCCCGGGGCAGAAGGATTCCTGCACAGCACAGCGCCACAGCGCAGTCTGAAGTTCGTGTCTTGAAATGTCTTGAATGGCAGGTGCCTGCAGACGTGGTGGCCGTGGACGAAGCCTGCTCCTGCCCGTGATCGCTCTCTGGTACTCCGAGAACTGTGCTATCTGCCAGTCCCCGTGTTGCTCGTTCGAGCTGTTGAGAGATGGACCCTCGGGCCTCGGTGCATACAAGCTCACGCTGTGGTTTCCGGTGGCTAGCAGTAGGTCGGTAGGGATCCAGCACTTTGAGGAGGTATTCAAGCACGAAGTGCTCAAACCTGCGGAATCTGCAAGGACAGAGCAGCACAGGGGCACGGGGCTTCCGTTTTGCTTTTGCGCCGCCAGGCCTCTGCGCCCTGGCTTGACTCTTTTCCAGGAGCACCGTCTGGAGCCGATAGCAAGTGCGGCTCGCCTTTCCAGGCTGGCAATGCCGTAATGCCACAAAGACTTCTTCTCAGCATGCAACAATGCCATGTGCCTCCTGTTCGTCTGCAGGACTGCTCTGAATCCTCGAGTTTGCTGCTCTCACTCTCTCAAGGAAAGCTGCACAGTCACGTCTACGTCCCAACCGCTCCTGCTGCAGAGCTCCGTTTTCAGCCCCGAAGCCACTGACCGCAGCGCAGAATCGACCTGGGAGGTGGCTGTATCCCGGGCTGCGAGCGATCTAGATGTCACATCGGCAGAATCTGTCGGACAAGCCGAAACCGCTGCAATGCCTGTACACTTAGTGCAAATATCTGCATCGTCTCACCAGATGACCAGGTGACACTGGCTAGAACTGCTCTTAAAGAGAAGCGATGAAGAACAGAAGTGCACGCGATTGCAGGGGCATGTGTGCAGATTGGGTTCCGGGCTGCCCCTGTCAGTGCTGTCGCAATATCCTGCCAAAGTTCTCAAACTTCACGTGGCTACGAATCAGGGGATTCCAGGCACAGTCGTCATAGGGACTGCCAGGGCATCCGTGCCTTGGCTCGCTGCGCCGGATCACTTGCGAGGTTGCCTGGCGCCATCCTGACAGGATCAAAAGTCTCGAAAAGCCCGCGAAGGGCCTTCCGATCGAAATCACGCCGGATCTTTCGATTGGTGTCGCTGGAGGCCGGCCTTCCGACAAGAACCGAGAGGCCGCGGACCGGACCACAGCTGTGCAAGAGCGCTCAGAGCCGAAATGGATTGGGAACGAGGCTCTGATGCTCTGGCACTTCCGTCGCGTGCTGCCTCCGAAGTCATCGAAATGCCCTCAGGCCTACCTGGTGCACTACTTTTTGCTGTGCGCTCCCCTTACTGCGCGGTAAGCCACTCGTTCAGAGTCGAATCCCTAGCGTACGTAGTGCAGCGGAAGCATTCAGGTTCTTCAACCCTTGTCCAAACCAGTCTCAACATCAAGAATGCACTTCGTCACAACGTCCCGTTGGCTTCTGCATCGCCTACTGCCCCACGGGAGCTTGAAGCTGTATGCTAGCCGCATCCTCTCTGTCGGCACTACCACCATTAAGCATAGTCTACAAGACTCAACGAAGGGTTCGCGTGTCTGACGCAATTCCCGACATTGTGGGGTGAGACTCAGACGGCCTAATGGGCTTTGCAAAAAACATGCGAAGGTGTTCACAGTTTCTAAACGCTTGTGAATCGCACTTCAAGTTCACCCGATGTTCGCTAATAAAGGGGATGCCTCGTGAAGATGCCAAAGCCACTCCCCTGGTTGCTCTTCAGTCCGCATCTTCTGCCTCCAGCTCCTCTTCGGAATCTTCCTGATGCAGGAACCGACCCGGGAAACACCGATTCATGCAACGTGCTACTGAGCAGATTTGCGCGTGCGACACATACGCGCGTCCGGTCGGGCGGAAGTTCGGGTAAAGAAACAAACTTTAGGCCCTACGCCTAACAATCTCCCAAACCCTAGGACCGATGATTGCATGTGCAAAGGTGCTGGTAATGTTGGTGCGAGATGGTGTGAGTACCCGCTAGCAGAATGCCAAATTCTACGCAGCCCAGCGAGGTCGGGGGCACGCTGCTCGATTAGGGCCACAAGGGCAAGGCAAGGCGAGGACTCAGGTTTTCGTTGCATTGCTCATCGAAATCTGGTTTAGGGTTTAGGGGTTTAGGGTGCAACTTGATATGTAGAATGTAGATCGGATCGTACTCTGCTCGCATATCCCTATACCCACAGGCTGAAAACTGGGCTTAAGCACACGAGAGAAACCGCAGGCCCCAAGCACTAGACTGTAAACCCTCAAGTTCCATAACTTGGCCCATAATCTCCTATGCAGCAGAAAAACAATCCAAACCCCAAGCCCAAAACACCGAACTGTAAACGTCGGACCCGTAAATGCCGTATAACCTAAATACTAAGAAAACACAGACCACAAGCTCTAGCACGTGAACACCCTGAGCCCTCAAAACCACAAGCCCTTAAGACTTAAGAGCCGTAACCATTACCTCAACCAGTTGAAAGAAAGGGTACTGAAAATACCACCAAACACAACACACGCACACACACACACACACGCGTAAAAGAGGAAAACTAAATCAAAAAAACAAGTCTCGCTGAACACATCTGCTTGACTCGCATGTTGGTGTTTGTGCCGGGGCTTGAGTCGGGATCGTGCTCGAATCGCATGTGCTCGCGTGGCGTGCTGACCTGTATATGGCGCAGCGCTTGAATCGCGGTCTTCGTCCGCGAACGCGCTGGATGGGACAGTGAAGACTTGAGGTCCGAAGCATCACGGAAATGGCACGGCAATGAGCCCCTGCCTGCGCGGCGCCATCGGCCTCTGCGGGCTCCTGCAATTGGCTGCAAGCTCCCAACGCTGCCAGAGCTGTCAACTCTTCATCTCCGCTCCTGTGCCTGCACACGAGGGCGCTTTCGAGCGCCTGGCTCCTGCGATTGGGAAGGGCGAGCGGCTAAACCTCTCTCACTGAAAGGAAGACTGCAGGGGCAAGGCCCCACACGCCCCACCTCCCAGTCGGAGTCATCTTCGGAATCGCACATGCCTTGCCTCGATGCACATCACATCACAGCGCGCGCATCGCAGAGCAAAGCAGGGAAGAGTGCTCCCCTGTGCTTGGGCTCCGGGCTTCCGCCTGCCCTTCTTCTTGACATTTCCCTTCTCTTTTTGCTCGCCACGGCCGCGGCCGCGGCCACGCGCCGCAGGCGGCTCTGCTTTCTTGACCTTCGTCGCCTTTAACTCGTTCTTCCCGCCCTTCGCCGCTTTGCCTTTGCGCCCACGCCGACCCTCCAGAACATCAAGCTTGGCCTCGTGCCGTGATCGGCTATCATCCCAAGGATCTGCGTCTGTAATGGTCCGGATGTACGAAATGATCTCCTCCGGCCGCCCAAAGTTTTCTATCAATGGCGAGATTTTTTCCAGCCACTCATTGGCAGGGAAGCGATTGCGAGCTGGCGTCTGTCCATCCTCACCTCGCCCGAAACCTCCGGTGGGAAACGCCTTAATCCTCTCTTGCCGCAGCTCTTTGGGATTGAACGTTGCACATTGCTCGGAGGAGAGGTTGTACTCCCTCCTCAGGACAGTCTTCAGCACCACACAGCTGACGATGGAGAGCGCCTCCGTAAAGACCTGTCACAGAAAAACCGGGACCCCCGATTCGGATTCGGAATTTTCACCCCCGGAACCACCAAGTCACCAAGGCCTGCTCGGGCGAAAGTGTCTCCTTCTCCTTCACGGCCGTTCCGTCGGCCGACGCGAGCAAAGCCCCAGCGTGTAGTGCCAAGTGATGGTTGCATTCCTCGGCAGCCCGTCGCCCGGCTCAGAGCGGAGCTTCTTTAGGAGATACGCTTGTAGATCCGCTCCGCTTGCTGCAGGGCAAGGCACGAAAACCACCAGCAGAGGCTCGTTCTCGAAGGCGAAAGGCAGCGATGTGACTGCCGATGCCAAAAACCTGCTAGCTACGACTGACCACCCGTCGAGTTCTGTCAATCGTTGCTGTATCAAAAACCTAGAAGAAGGCGGCAGACAGCTTTCGCTTCAACACCCCTCATGCCCTGCTCTTATCGGCGGCCTGCCCTTGTATTCAAAGCCGCAATGAGTGTTTAGAGCCCTTCGGTCACACTTTGGGATGACTTTGCGGATGCGAGCTCTTCTTGACTCATTGATGCTGCCGCCCAGCAGCTGAGCATAAAGAAGCTGCTGCTGCTGCCGCAAGGGAATCCGGCCAGGACCGCGGCTGCCGGCTTTCCTCGCGGCACGAGCCCATGACCGCGACAAGACTTAGACAAGACTTGCCAAGAGATCTTCTACAGAGTCCTCGTAGCACTGGAGCCACCTGCGTCTTCCACACCAACGACCTTCGAAGCCAAGCGAAGTGCAACACTGCAAGTTGCAATTTCGGTTTTCCGAGGTCACTGCTCCCAGTGCCGCTAGCTCAGCAAACCGCTCCTGCACGAGTCACATGGGAATTCAGGGTCGAGCAGAAGACTGAGGCTACAGGGTTTCAAAACAATCTCCACGCGCAACTGCACACATTGCAAACACATGTGCAGGTTTGATGCAAGTGCAATTTGCGGCAGGCATGGGCATGAGACGTGAAGCTGTACCTCTGAGCGGTTGGTTTGCAGCCGCTGCAACTCACGCAATGCTTTTCGAAGAAAAGTATCACGGAGAGTTTTCCTGAGCAGGAGGCAAAAATGCGCAAGAGCTTCTGCACAAAATCATGCTGATGTCACTCGCGTGTCTATCCGAAGCAGACTATAACCATCGAAGGCCCCAAACTTGGAGCTTTTGACCAGCCATTGCATCTAGGGTCTGCTTTCGGAAGCGCTCCATGTAGACGTCCCCCAGTCCCAGGAGCTGTTGGGGAACCACAGCCTCTGAAAAAACAGGCACATAGGGCTTCGTCATGGATTCCATGCTTGGAGAGTCTCAGAGTTCCTCTTCTGAGCCTCCGGGCCTCACCCAGACGGACAGCTGTCGTTGCCGCCGAGAGGAGCGCCAAGAAAGCCTCCGTCAGAGTCTCAAAGCGGAGATTCGGGCCTCTAACAGTCCTACACTGTCCCCTTGGAGCCTCCCGGAAGGCCTCATCCAGGCGGTTGAGAAGCCTGGTGGGGGATCCAAGCAGCTCGAAAAGGACCCGAGGAGCACCGAACAGAGTTCACTTGTGTAGAAGCTGAGGGACAGAGAAGGCCGCAGCTCGAGCATCTCCTTGAGCATGGCGGTTGCCGGCTCTGACAAACGAGGGTCTCCCGCGAAAGTCAGGGCGAAGACTTTGGGCAACACGGCCATTGGATTCACCAAGCCCTGTTGATGGAGGTGCCGGACCACAGACAGGGCTTCCACGCGAACTCGCAGCACTCCTTCTGCCTTCTCCGTGTCCTGCGCGGATCCCTGCTCCTCCTCTTCCTCTGTTTCTGGCACACTGCGACCTCGCTTTGTGCTTTGTGACTTTTTGGGGGAGGGCACCCCGGCAGCTGGGCCCACACTGCCAGCTAAGGTGATGTGCGACAGCACCACATCGGCAAAAGCGGCCAGGGGCTGCGCCGCTTCGATCGCAGAGTTGGTCTTGCTTGAGGCCTCGGCGGCAGCGCTGCCGCCGGCCTTTGCTGATCGCTGCGAGGAGGGTCCTTGCAAGGCCGCGAGGGAGTGTCCGCTTTGCGAGGTGCCAGCGATGCGGCCGTCCCTGCTGTCGGCGAAATCCGCGGCACCTGCTTTGGATTCCCGATCCGCCTCTGAGCGGAAGTGGCTCAAAAGTGCCGACAGCGTCTCCAGCGCTTTCCGGCAAAGGAGGAGATCGCTGGAGCTCAGAGCACTCTGCAGCAACTCCACCACTCGTCGATCTTTCGTGAAGCCACGGTGGCCCTTCAGGAAAAAGCCCATGCAAGAAGCGGCCACGGCCCGCAGCTGTGGCTCGCCTATGGCATTCAACCTCGACAGACTTCAGTAATTTCGAGTTTTCTACCCGGCTCCTGGCTCCTGGCTCCCGGATCCTGGCCTGAGGAGGAGGTCCAGCACGGTCGATGCCACGCAATCTCCAAGGAACTCGAACTTCAGGTCCGACCGCGGCAGCAGACGCCGCTTTGGCCTCGCCCAGACTTCAGTGCAGCTTCGGAAGAAGAAAAACGTCGGGACTTCCCTCAGAGGCCAAAGCTGCTCTTCGGCACTGAGGCCCTCGATTTGCACCTGTCCACAGCTCTCGCGCACCACGTCTTGCCACTGCTTAGTTGCAGAGCACCTTCTGCTATGTCGGTATGCCTGAAGATCTCTTAACCTTCGAGTCTAGGGCACAGGCATGGTCATCAATGTTCAAGCACTCCATGATGGACGCCAGCACCCAAGCTTGACGGCTCATGTACCTGTGCAATCATAATCGTCGCGCACGCAGAGACCGAAGCATGGATGCTTGAAGGAGGACTCCCATCGAGGCTCACAGCAGCTGGATCCGCTCGAGGCTGCCGGGCTTCTGCTCGGCCGAGGTGCACAAACGGGACAGGGACGGCCTTTCAACAGCAACCGCAACAGCGATCGTCACGGCTTTTTCACGATGATGCCAAGTGTGGGTGCTGGGAAACCGGCACGGCCACGTTCAGGTGCGAAACGATCTGCGCCAAGTCGCCAGTGACCTGGTGCATCACATCCTTCTGGCTGCGTGCAGCTTTCTTCTTCAAGACACAGAAGCAGAATGCAGCTCGGGCCCAGACAAACTTGACGACCAAGCAAAGGCAACGCCTGAGCGGGCTAACCCGGCAATTTTGTCATGTGCTTGGCAGAACTTTCTACAGAACCGATATTGCCTGCTGAGTGCAGCGATCCGTCTCGGTGCACGACACAGCTTCATGCACTCCACTGGAAGGCTGGTTGCGAATCAAGGCCTGAGATCTTTTGCTGAACTGTTGCTCAAAGCTGGAGTGTGGCATAGGCATAGACAACAAGAATGACCGTTTTCCGCTGTGAGGCCTGCAAGTCCACCTGAACCTGCCGATGGTCCATCAGACCGCGCCTTCACAGGCTACGCTCGAAGGATGCAAGTATTCGCATTGGGAAGGCTCGGGTTAACGGTTAGTGTTAGCATATCCTGTTCGTGTCGTAATGCATCACGACAGGCCGAAGAAGACGTGTGTTGCAAAGCAAGAACGACGCGGGCATAGCGTGAACATGTTGAAAAACTGAAACCTCAACATTCATCCCTTGTGTCTCCGAACGAGGTCCATGGATACATCACCAGCAGCACATGACCATCGAAGCGGGCACACCGCTCTACCTGAACCATGGCCTTATCTACGACGGCTACCATGCTGGGCTATTCAAGAGGGGCTTCAAGATGCGCCGTCGCGCGCCTTTCTGCCACGTAAGGCAGCACCGAAGCGAGGATTCGGCAGACCTGCGACCGGATTGGAAGCAACCAAAAGAGATGCGTCTGAGCCCATTTTGCTTTCTCCTCAGTTCACTGTGCTGGGTCTTCTTCTTAAAAATTCAGAAAGGGACGCTGTGGGGCTCCGTTTTTTGCACACATGAGGTTTTGCGATGTTTTGCAAAAATTGACAAGGGCGCCTGAGCGAATTCTCTCGCATCTTTTCCTCGGATTCGGAGGCATTGAAGCCTGTGGATCGCTGAAAGCCTCCGTGACCTGTTCCTGCTAGAGAAAAGAATCGGCCCATGTTGCTCTGCTGCGGGCACCTCTCCCTCGCGCATGCTGCGCATCCGAGTGTCAGGATGCTGGGTGAAAACTAGATAGCCTGGTCGGTTTCATGTCTCTACAGTTGACTGGGCAGCCGGTGGGACAGGCTCTGCATCTTCCGGCTCTCACTCTCTTCTGCCAGGCTTCAGGGCTAATCACGATAGCTTTCGCTTGTTGTCTATTTCGTTCCTTCCTTCCTTCCCTCCCTCCCTGGCTTCTGATGCGTAAGCCGGAGGTGTTGCCCGGCTGCTGCGCCTGCACACTCCGTGCCACGAGTCTCGGTGATGTGAGACGTAGTGGGAGCTTGATGTAAGGAAGGCATCCCGGATCAGGATCTTTTCGTCGCCAGAGGGGCCAACTTGCCCCGCCCGCACAAGCCCCCACATGTTGTGGTGCTCCAGGATCTTTTTGTCTCGACCAGGCAAAAAAGGAAGGAAGGTCCCCCTTCCTTGCGTGCGAATACGCTCGTGCAGCTGTCCTTGCAGGTTTTATTTCCGCTGAAAGTTTCTGTCTGTCTGTCTTTGCTTTGCTAGGGGCCTGAGGCGGGAGCAGTCCTCCCGCCCCGCGCGGGCGCGCTGCCCATCCATCATTTGGATTGGATGTCTGTCTGTCTCTCTCTCTCTCTCTCTCTCTCTCTCTCCCTCGCGATCCCTCACGATGCTTGGCCTTGATTGCCACCCACTGATCCTCAGGTGGCGAATCATCCTGCAACGATATCTTGGATACAGTCTGGCACATCCCAACTGGGCAAGGATGCCACGCCGATGGCGCATCCGTCCTCCAAGGCCAGGTAGATCGTGAGAGGCCGTAAGTGCACCAGCCTTATCCATCATAGGAGTCATGGTCCCTTCCAAATCCATCGCCGGCCGGAAACCATGTTTCTGACAAGTGACAGATCTTTGGGCTGCGTCGCGGAGAATGCTTCGAGTGTGGAGAGGAGGGATCGACGCATCAGCCACTGCTCCTCATCAAATTCTACTCGTACCAGACTACTCTACAAAGCATCGAGACTGTCGCTTCACTCCTCGGCACTTTCGGCTGCTTGAAGCTCGATCTGCGAACCCTGTCAGGAGGCTCTTCGTCACCAGGTCCCAAGATGCCTCAACGAGGCTTCACAAGTCGCGCCTTGGCTTTCTTGAAGGGTGGTGTTTCTGAACCATATCCACACCTCGGCTAGCACAGGAGCACAGGCACCAAGGACAGCAACTCTGCACGCATGAACGAAAGTCTACGAGAAGCCGGGCGCCGAGACTTCGTTCGCACGAACTCATTGAGGATCAATGTTGTCCATCGGCGGATGGCGAACTCGTAGCCTTTGGAGTTCTTGCGTGAGCCTGGCATGGCTCGGCTACTATAACCCCTGCGCACCCGATAAAAATGCTTTTTCCTTCCGCAACCCAGACCGTGTTTCTGTATTCTTCTGCTGAAGATGAGCAGAAGCAAACACAACCGGCCGGAGGCACCGATGGACTTTCGAAAACGGCGCAGGAGCTCCTGCAAGACGTCTCCAACCGCCGCCTTGGATGTGAGAGGGCGTAGCAGGCTTTAGCAGTGTACCAACGACGAACAAGACGCCATGGAAAGGAAGCTCTAGATACAAGTAACATAACAAAAGAACAGCCATCTTGGAATGTTCGTAGTGCGATGATGTGTATCAAGATCGATACGAAAAGTGATGACAACCATCTTCTTAACCGCTCTGGCTCCTCAGCCCCCTGCCACCATACTTCTCGAAGCATCCACCACTCTGCAAAGCTGCCGAGCCGCCTCCAGCAAGGCAGCTCGGTTGACAAAAATCTAACTATTCAGTGTAGCACTGGAACCACAGCCGCCAGACCTCTGGTGTAGGCTCATCATCCATGAACCAGAGGAGCTCGAACGTGCCCAGGACAAGGTTGCGCCTGCATGGGGAAGAAGCAGGCCCGTGCTTTTATTAAAAACCTGGGCTCCATAGGGTCCCCGTCAGTAAGTCCCCGGCAAAGCTTCCGAGTCCGTGGAGCGACGAAGAAGATCCAGTGTGACTGGCACTACATCTGGATGATCTGGGTGATTCAAAACCTCAGAGTGATGAGCGACCCCCGTTCCCTGTAGTGACACTCAGCTGCAGCAGAGTCGCAAAAGCGCTGAGGATCTTCGTGGCCTGCCGTCGCACAATGACTGCGGTGTCGTTCACACGCCTTGGCAGTCGAGACTCGACGGGAAGCTGACCATTCGTTCTTGGATTCTTACAAGTTGAAACACCACACACAAGGTCTCTAAGCACGTACACATGCACAAAGCAAAGCAAAGCACTATGTCGGAGTCGTTTTCCAATGTCGTATTGATTCCAAGGCAGTCCAAACTGAAAGCTGCGTAGAATGACAGCATGTGCACAGAAGAGCAAATAAGCTTGCCAGAACCTCGAGAAAAATGATGGGCCGTGTTGATGATTTTCTGTGCTCTTCTGAACGTTGAGGCAAGTGGTCCACTAATTCCAGGGTTCAGTGCCCCTGTGAAGCTGCAAAAGCGCAGCACATTCCGAAACCCCAACTGCACCTGCCTACTGGTCAATGCTAGAGCTGTCAACTGTTGATGCGAGAACTGTAGGGCTGTAGGGACTCAATGGGTGCTCACAATATGAAGAACAACTTGTGCAGTTGGTGCCAAAATCTCTTATTCAAAGCCTGACATGATGGCAGGTAAGGTCTGTACAGGCTCGCCGACTCTGGGCAGTTTGTTCGCCGAGAAGTTGAAGTCACACTGCACATCGTTCTGATGAGCTGGCGAAACACGCCAGCACAAAAAGTCGCTGCTGCACTTGTCCTGGTCAGAGTGTGATGGTGAGTGCCGCTCGCAGCGTACATGGCTGCCTGCAGATAGGACAGCTTGCTCTGAGACTCAGCCACGGATGCACGCAGATTGAATGAAAGGTGTGTCCACAAGGAAGTTCTTGCTGCCAAGTAGAGTCCGTCATGCAGCCCAGGCAGATGGCACACTGGCCATCACCCCTGCAGCCTTTTGGCCCCTTGTTCGCAGGCATGCCTCTGCACAGCTTCTTTGATGCGCTGCTGAAGACCGAAGCCACAACTCCCTTTACTTCGTCCAGCTTGTCCCGAGCTGCACTCCAGGCAGAATCAAGCGTGCTTATTGCGATCAGTGGCACCACATGCTGCATGGGCTATTCAAGGGTTTCTGGGACGAAGCTTGAGAGGGGTAGTTGGCTGCGGAAGCCACCTCAATAGCCATGCACCAAGATCTTTCAGCACGTATGCCCACCGTGCAAAGGGGAATCGACGAAAAGCACAGCTTTCCACAGGGTGTTCCTTGCAGCCTTGCAAGGGGCAAGGAAAGGGCGGGGGTGACAGGGGTGGCGGGGGATGCAGCAGATTAGGCTGGTTTGGACACCAAGAAGTGAAGGCTGGGGCACGGAAGCGCATCTTGCAAGGGCGGGTGGGAGCGGGTGCGATTTGGCTGGAAAGGATGGCGGCGAGGTTGACAAGGGCGGGGTATTGACAAGTGGGCATGTGCTGGAGGAAGGCTGTAGGAGGAGCTTGCAATAACAGCCTTGCGAGGACAGTTCTGTTTGCACCTCACGTGGCCACGACGAGTGGCACAGCTGGTTGGTGATGCGGGGCGAGCGGCGGCACCGGACTCAGGGCGGGGGGGAGCAGGTAAACGGGGTGCAGATTTGCGGCTGAAAACATGTTAGGGGAAGGCGGGGGCGCTTTCCGTTCGGGCCGTACTGGTTTAAAGTGACAATAGGTACGAGGCTACAGGGCATTGGTAACGCCCTACATAGAAAACCAGACGCAACTTGCACACAGCTCAAGCACGCCATTGCTTTGCTGCCGGCAGATCGGGAGGCAGGAAGTCTCGAAGATTTCGAAGCTTTGAACGCTCACAAGGCGCCATTGCTTCTTCGACGGCTTGGATGGTGAACCCAGATAAAGATTTCGAGTTCTCAGTTCGACTGATTCACTGAAGCTAGGCCTCTAGATCCGTGGACCCTGTGCCAACATGCAATGACCAGTTCGATAAGCTCTCTCATCGAAATCCAGCGCCCGCAGAGGAGAACATGCTGCTTTTCCTTGGTTGAATTAGAGTATGTGCAAAAAAAGCCCACTGCACCTGAAACACAATGCACGGCAGTCTCAACCCACAAACTCCGGATATGACCTGCTTGCATAGCTAATTTTGTGTATGCTTGATCAGCTGCTTCTGTCCAACTGCAGCAGTAGATTCCATTCGCCCTGCGCCCGACCGGTGTCCAGCAACCATCGTTCCGCGTCACCGTACCTTGGCATGCTGTCGAGGGAGCTTCGGTTAATCAGAACGGAGGTCAACATGTCTTTCGGCTGAGACACTGTCCCGGAGCCAGGTTGCAGGCTCGATTCCAATACCTCAGCACACTCAGAAAAGTCCTTTCCGGCAGCGCCAACAGCGAAACGTGGCCATGTGTTTTACCACGAGATGCAGCCGACCAACTCTGCAGCCTTCTCGTAGAGGGCATCGGCTCGATCATATCTCAGGTCCCTTTCCGCCTTGACACCCTGGGCCTTGGTACTGGATGCCAGACGTCCTCCTCCTACGAGATTTTGCATTCACCATGAGCTTTGACGGAACCACCTATTACTGCGATCTTTCTGCTGAGCTGCAGACTTGGCAGATTCAAAAGACCCTGCTTAGGAATCAGTAAGCATCTTCATTCCGAGCTTCGTGGTACATGACACCCAGGTTATTCCAGGCAGAGAACAGCTGGTAGTTCTGGTCCTTGGCATCATGTACACTCTGTCAAAAAGTGCTTATCTTTCTGCATCGAGACGCAGTAACTCGCGATAGGCAAAGCGCAACTGGCATGTTTCACGTCCCACACTTAAGAGGGAGACATTCGTCCACACAACAGCTTCTGAGGCCATATCCACAGCCATCAAGTAGTACTTGGCTGCCTTGGTGAACTCGCCATTATCGGCGAAAACGATGCCCAGATTGTAGAGGATGTAACCGCCTCAGTTCAAGCCGACATGTGGAACGTGAGACAATCTCGAAGAAGGGCAGAAAAAGACGAGCGGGAGAATGGTCCCTGATGTTGTTCAAGAGCGGCGTTCGGAGGGATCGCTCTCCAACTTGAGCGCCCGTGCATACCTGAGCTGAGACAGACTGCATGTAACAAAGCATGGAAGCCCAGAAGCGGCAACTCACCCCTCCGCCCTGCCTGATATCCAAACTCCAAGCTGCGCGAAAGCTACGTAAGCCGAGATGCCAGCGCACGGCTTCTTTGAGATCTCCATCGGACTGAGCCGAAAGGCCCATTCGATAAGCCTCTCTTGACAAGCTCAGGTTGAAAAATATCTCAAGTTGAGAAAGAGCAGCTCTGTGCTTAAAGTTATTCAGCTTGATGCAAATCTGAAGCTGCAGCTGCGATCGGGTGCCCCAGAGAAGCGCTCAGCTAAGTTTCGAAAGGGAGGATGGAAAGCTCTCTGCGACTCTGCTGCAACCCTTCCAGCAAGAATGTAACTTCTGCACTGCTGCAGTTCCGTCGTCATCGTCGTCAGCATACATCGTCATCGGCATGGCCACTAGCTATCATCGCCATAGCAATTGTCAGCAACAGGATAATGCTAATACTTACTATTAGCGAAGATGTTAATAGCAAGTACTTGTAACGATATTGATACGTAGTTTCAAGAACAACAGTATCGTCATCATCATCCTCACCATCTTCATCATGAAAGTCCTCCTCGTCAGCGTACCAACAACACCAGCAACACGAGAGCCGCAAAGCTGTCAAGGACCTCGTGAGCCTCTTTCTCTTCCGCAGGCCTCAGGCCAAGTCGTGCCAAGCCGTCATCCAACATTATGCCCGTGTAAAGCGAACTGCATCATCAGGAATCAAAACTATTCGATTCACTTACATGAGCTTATTGTTGAAACAAGTCGCAGAGGCATGGAGTCAATGAGGTTTTGCGCTACCTCCTGTGTTAGGGCGGCACGAATCAGCGAAAGATCTATCCACCAAGACCTTATCAAATATTTCGCAAAATAGCCAATGCTACTTTGCATGCTGCTCTCTCATCTTGGCACAGACTCCTTGAAAGTGCCATCGAGAACGCCCTCGTCGTCGCCCCTAGCTGGGCGCAGTGTTCGCCGAGTCCTTGCGAGAGCTGCTGCTCATGAGCTGCTGCAGACCGTGGAGGGCAGCCATGAGGCGTAATCCTCGTCGAAGGTGCCCCAGACAGCACGAACACACAGCGGAGCCTCGAAGTGTGAACCATAACGGCAGACAGGGTCTACTTAAGGCTAAGGCAGTTCCTGAATACCCGAGGCCCTGGCACGGAACAGCACAGTGCTGCCAGAAGTATAGCCGCCAACCGAAACCGGAATGCCATGAAGCACCGTGGAGGGGTCATCGGTTTCTGTGTTGGATGTCAGATGGGTTGGGGTTGTCCTCTTGTGAGACCACCAAGGTCTGCATTGCACGAATGCGGTGCTTGTGCAACTGTCTGCAGCGGCACTTCGACAGAAGCTACCAACATCTCAAATGAAAATCCGGAACGGCAATTATTGCAACTTCCTGACACAGGCCAAAATCCAAGAGTTGCATCATGCAGATACAGTCACTACGAATGAACAAACATCATGCCCATGCCCATTCCAGCGATCTCATGCCTGAGGCAGCTGCCCACGCACAGTCTTGTGAAACCGAAGCCTCGTGGCGTGGCCCAATAAGAATGTGTGGCTGACTGCACTCAGCATGGGCCAAGGAAGGCTTGCATGAGAGCCAGGGATAACTGCTGCCAGAAGGCAGCATGTCCCGGGCGCTGGCATCTGAACCTTGGAGGCAGCCGTGGCAAATACTATGCCACTGGACGCTCTGCGATCTTGAAGTGATACCTTCCTCACGCAGCTAAGCAAAACAAGAGGCAGAGCATCCCGCCTCCATGACTGCCCTCTGCGCTTGCCCGCTTTGACCCTGCCTACCGAAACATGCAAAGCATCGTGTCCGGGCGATGCCCGTCGAAACCGAAGACCAATGCGTGTGATTTCAGGTCACATGGCCACAAGAAGCAAAAGGCATCATCTGCACCGTGCCTCACCGCTCCCCTGCACAGGACAGCAAGACACGAACCCCACTGCCAGAGGATGAGATCCACCGCTGAAGACAGGCTGAGAATGCGCTGCAGGACTGAGGTGTGCAGACTGCCCTCCGCACACACCCAACCCAGCCCGCTGCCTCGGCCAGGCTTCCTTCCAGAATGCGCCCGAGGAGATCCAAAGAAACCTGCCGTCGGATTCGAACACAGGTCACTGCCAGACTAGATCATCACCAGTGTGCACTGGTGCTGCACATGCTGCCTTCCATAACTCAGAAGGGCATATGTGTATATATATATATATATATACATGTGTGTGTATGTAACTGTATGTATGTATACATGCTAAGACTGCACCTGAGACGATAGTCCTATCCACCTGTGAAACAAAGACAATGAATTTCGCAGATCTGTGACACGAAACTGGGAAATCGCAGCAAGTGGCCATCAAGACTGGCGATGAAGTGAGCACACGGGACAAACGAACCCCGCGAAAAAGATCAACTGGATACATGGCTCTGCCCGATGCTGGACAATTCGTCCATTCACTCTACAACTTTGCCGATAAAGGACCGTTTTGCCCTGCCTGTCGAACCCACGACGATTCGTCTCGCAGGCGCATGTCCACGGTTTCCTCCACTGCCCTGACTTTGGGCCAAGCCACTAGCCAAGTAAATAACTGCAGTACTCTGCAAGTCAGTACCAGGTGTTCACGGCCTCAAACTCAAGACGGAAATGTCCATGTCGACCAGGTCACTCAGTGCCTTGAGGCCGGGTGCGCTCGCTCAACTTGACTGCAAGATGCACCAGCAACAAATGCAGTGAATGTCCTGCAGGCGTTGCCGTCGGATGTTCGGCTGTTACCACGGGGTATTATTGCTCTTCCGGCCCCTCATTGCAGTCAAGAGTTTGATTGCGCGGTCATGTTGAGGGGCCCGTGCCGTCTTGCTGGTGCAGGCATTGGGAAATACTGCCAGTTCGTTAGGCTGTTGATGACGGCTTTGGAGGCTCCTCCATACCCAAACATTCATCTCTTCTCGTTTCGAGCTGTCTGAGCTCGTCCAAATAACTCGTCCAGAATGTGAACCGTGTCTGAGCTTCGCGCCCGCATGGCGGTCTTTCGAAGCGAGGCCTCGGCACGGACACGGACACACAGGCACGCAAAGCGTGTACGCACAATGCACACTCTCCGCCGCTGCGCCGCTCTGCCGCTCCGCTGAGAGGTCCCCGCCATCGGTGAGTTGGCTTGCATCACGATGCAGTCCAAGGCCTCACGATTGGCACCCGAAGCAAACTTAGAGCTGAGAGTCGGCGACGTCGAGGTCCCTTCTCGGGAGAGCACCGCTTTGCGCAATCCGTCCAACTCTTGGCTCCGAAGTTGGCGATACACCTGCCGCACGAGCAGCACTACCGCGTCGAGGCCGTCGCTCCGACTTCAGAGCAAAAGGAGACATCTACAAGTCATCTACGAACTCTGGCCCAAGCTTACCTTGTAGACGGTGTAGGGAAGCAGCACTCGACGTCCACCCATGCCTTGCACAGTGTCCCTCTTTCACTACGACGATTAGCTGAAACCGTCTTACATTGCAGCCAGTGTAAGTAGGGACTGGACGCCAGGAAGCCGTGTCGCAAACCTGACGTCAACGAATCTCATGCTGCAGATGCTACAACTCCGCAACAAACTAACATCCCGATTCACACCAAAAGCAGTGACACAAAGCTCGATAAGCTTCGGGCCAAAGTTGGTGAGCACCTGCCAACTCATACTTCAACTACTCTGCTCGGCTTCTGAAACGAGTGTATCGATGTTCATTTTCAAGGCCGGGGCCATGCAGATGCCAAGAAACGCTGGAGCGGCGTCATGGAGCCTGGCGACGCAACATCCCTGCACATCTTTTGGAAGTCTTTGCCACTTTTTAGAGCAGCAAATCACAGAACACTTCCCAGGTGCCATGCACTTGCCTCTCCGTCGCGAAGCGGCCTCGTCGGAGGGGGCAGCGGCCTCCGAGGACTTAAGTGTTAAGCATTGACCTCATCGCATGACGACACCCTACGGCCCTACGATATGATCACAGTGGCACGAACACTCACGGCGTACGGCACGAAGGCCGGTGTGACTGCATGACTCAGCTCCTGAAGTGTCCATAACGAGCCTCTGCGCAGTCACAGACCAGGAAGCTCCACGCATGCACCGGATGACCGGCCTTCCACCAAGGAACTTCGCAGAGTCTACGTGCACATGACCGGGGCTGGGATCCGAGCTCCGAAGACTGCGGCAGACAGCGGCGCTGCTGGAGCAGCAGCACCTCGGAATCTTTCCGCACAAGCTTTAATGCACGCGCTCTACTGTAAACAGGCATCAGCATGCAAATGCAGATGCAGAGACACACTCTTTTTCACGTGGGGCAGCACAAGCTTGTACAGTCTCACAGCAGACCTCAAAAACCGCAGGTCTGTCAGAGCGCAGCACAGACAAGTGCAGCAGACAGCCTACGGCAGGTCCGACAGAAAAGGCCAGCGGCCCAGAAGCCCCGCTACACAGAAGCCAGTGCGCAGGTTTTGCAAGTACGGCAGAAAGTACTCGCACCAGCATCAGCCTCAGACGTGACTTCGAAGGACTCACTCAGAAGACGGCCACACAGCAGGCGACCAGTAGACTGCTTCACAATGTGCAGCAGCTTATTCTTCTTGTTGCCGGCCACGGCATAACCTCCAAGACCCAGAATGTTCTCAACAAAGTGTGGTGCAGCTGCGACCAGTTGTTCAGCACCATCGTCACTTTCACAGGAGGCCTCGGACGAACCACTGGAGCTGCTGGTAACAGCAGCGGTAATCCCCGAACCACCAATAGCACACTTCTTCTCACAACTACTAGGTGGAGACGTCACCAGGGAGGCGGAAGCAGAACTCACAGGACTAGAAGGCTCCTGCCAGCGGCCACTTCTGGTGACGTCGGGCTGGAAACGACCAGAGCGAACAGAGGCCACGACCTGCCAGAGCTCGCGCAAAGGTCCTGCAAGAGCGTCTCGCCTGTAACCAACGCTGGCCATGTTGACACCGTGGCTGTGGTAGCCAAGGAAAGTCAAAGTCTTGTCAGAGAGACCAGCTTGGCACCCCAACTCAGCAAAGTAGCCTTGCAACTGTGACTACGAACAGCTGCCACCAAAGCCAGGTCAGCGTCAGGTGCCTTGGCCAGGATGCAACGCAGCCACTGAGTCAACTGGCTGCTGCTGACGCACTCCTGCAGCCACTGACCAGCAGCAGTCAGACCAGGCAACAGAGGGTGGTCCAAAGCGCCAGCAGTCTCCAAACGGTTGGCCTGCCTCACAGCCAGGAAGGTGGCGCCCCAGGGCACGTCAGACAGCCCGCAGAACAGCGCAGTCAAGGGCATGAAGAGGTTCCTGCGGCTCGCTGCCCTTGCCTGCTTGGGGTTCTTCACACGACATTCCACAAAGCCATCCATGCCACCAGGGGACAGGTCAAACTCAATGTGAGTCGATCTGCGTAGGTCACTGCGGCGAGCACGAGCGTAGACCATGAAGCACAGAGTGGAAGCAACCAAGCGCTCGTACAGGTCGTCCACAGTTGCAGCGTAGTACTCCAACCACCTCAGCTGAGCGACAGTAAGCGCCGGAGCTTGCTCGACCTCCTCCTTAGTCCGCAGGTGCGCATGGGCCAGACCACGCACACGTGCAGAAAGAAGTTCCTGAACAGAGACGCGCAGGCCTAGGGTGCCATGCACGAAGTTCAGGCTGGAAACAAAGGAGTCTATGCTGGAGGCGGCAGCAGTGCTCTGCAACCACCGGCAGTGCAGCCAGAGAACACTTTCGCAGAAAGAGTCCTCAGGACAAGTGCGGCGCCTCCACAGTACAAACCTAGTCAGAGGTGAAGCTCGTGTCAGCAGTGTGTTGGTGCTCTTCTTGCTGAACAACAGATCCAGATGCTCGACCATGTACTCATCACCTTCAGAAGGCAGCTTCTCCACAGTCGCAACACAGAAGAACTCAGGGGCCAGCTTCAGCAAGTTACACCACTTGCACAGGGTTTGGACTCGACGAGTGCGCTCCTCCTGAGAGCTCCAGCCAAACCCTTTGGCTTTGCCAGGCTGCCTGAACACAGAAGAGGAGGCAGCCTGAGAGCCAGCAGCAGAGCCAGCACAGGAAGCTGGTGACTGCTTGGGAACAGGCACCGGCAAAGGTGCCCGCAGTAGGTCATCTAAAGACCGCTGCAGGTCAGAAGGCTGAGGCCCAAGAAACGAAAAAGTACCAGACTCCCACGGTAGCTGCAGACGCTGACCTCGGCTCCTGACAGGGCCA